ACAGTTTATCCACGAAAGACAGACTTCCTCCTTCGGGTCAGCCCATGGAGTGAACAGCTGAGTCTGTCAGACATTTAACCTTTTGAAGAAGCGCCACGAGGCTCAAACTAGAGCTTCCGATCTGACCATTGGCCCTGTTTACTTTCCACACACCAGGTCTAGCTGCCCCAAGAGCCCGGCCTAAGACGGCTGCCGTGAATCCGAAGATGATCGCAGCGTGACCACCCGTACTGGAGGATACCGGATTCCAGTTGAAGCTTACATCATCCACTTCAGTGGACACTATGTTTGGAACTGACGAAACACACTGATGGTCAAATTGGGTTGCTTCCCCAATGTGGTGCATAGGAGCTGGGCAAATTCATGTTCCGCCTAACCTTTGGTAAATTAAATTGCGTGACGCTTCTACTGTTCGGCTGTCACGATCAAGAGGTGGCCCGCTGAAGCCTTTTACGACTAGGCATCTGCGGCCATGTATCTTGATGTTCAACTCATTGGGGTGGACGTATCACCTCACATTCAGGGTTTTGATACACTACGACCAACTTGACAGCCAGTTCGTTACATTTTAGTTGGTGGCACAACATTTTCAATACCCATACTTTCATGTGCCTTTCTATGACCTTTACGTTTAGTGTGCTCTGCTCGTAAAGGACGACACCTCGTCTCTGCTTATCAGTCTATCACTTTGGGAAAGAGCGAACCATCAAATGTATTTCACTGACACTGATCTCAGGAAAGACATACGTCCCTGAAATAGCGATAATCGTTATGACCAAAGTCCAAGTATTTCGGTCTGAACCCAAGAAACAATCCAATGGGACTAAGATAACGCGATTTCGACGGCCACCGCGTTCTTCAGTACAGTTTCCTAAGCTTTCATGAGTCACGCAGGGTCAAAGAAAATGTTTGAACAATATCAAAACACGATTTGGCGTGTCAAATCTGTGACGGATTTTCTGTGATACTACTAAACAACAAGAAGCTATGTCAAAGTTACAAAGGTATCTCACCAATGCCGCCGGGTGGATCGACAGTCCAAAGATTTTTCAGGGACAGAATGCGTACTGTACAGCAATTATGGTTGAATAAATACGACGTTTAAGTTCCTGGGAATCAATCAGAACATGCTCAACAAAATGGGATCAAAACTACTTAAAAGAATCAAATCAATCCACAAGCGTTTACAGTACACTGCCAAAGGACAAGCAGCCAATTTACAGCCCAGCCTTGGGTTGAGCCAAACGTAATTTCAAGAAAAGTGAAACAACGCCAAGTTGTCAACAGCTCAGCACCACACAACAGCAAACTGAAGCACCAATGAAAAGTTGCAATCAGAACACAGACAAATGAAGTGTTGAGTCAAAGAAGATAGGCACACGACAAAAGAGTATTACGATGGTCAAGGTTAAGGGGTAATATTAAATGATAACAAACAGTGGACAGGTAATAACAAGCGGGGGAAACTGTTCACCTAAATACCAAAACTGTCAAACCAAGTGGTCACGAAGGATTCCCAAATTGACTGTTATTTGATGGTGATGTCGAGCTTTCCGTGTTTACTATGCTACGAAACTCGATTCGTTCCCTGGAGAGGCTGCGAGCTTTTGTACCAAGACGGCGAACTACGGAGATGGGTTTCCATCTCATTCAAGGGGGTTTGGGCATCATTCGTCTGCGAAAACTCACAGCACGAAAACCCACCACTTTGAGCACTTTCTCTTTTGCCGCTAATCTGGGTTTCAGCAGTTCTTCTGCTTCTCGTCTGTTGGTTCCATCTACATGGGCGAAATCCCTGCGCCGAACATTCCAGTCCTTTGAAATTTATGAGCATTCTGCAGAATGCGATCCCTCCCCTCTACTGGTCTGGGTATGGGTTTGAGTTGCCGAAATCTACTTTCTGTAGAGGTCGTCCCTTCCCCTATTCCACATATCCCAACCATAGTGACCTCTATAAGGCTTCTCGGCAGCTGCTTTCCTACCAAATTTTTATCTCACTAAGGTCACGCTCGAAGCGGTTACGTGGCTCTGAGTCCTTACTTTCTTCAGCCGTGCCGAAGAGCATGAAAGTTCCCAGAGTTCTGCCTTACACTTCCTCTACGGAGTGTTGACATTTGACCCTAGGACCATGGCCTCCTTTTTGGCGTCCTGGCTAGTCTTGCTTACCTGTAGTTTCTCAGAGTTGGATGCGTAAGGCTGGTCGGCCTCGGTTTCAGTGACCTTAATATCACCAGCCTCAGAAGGTCATTTGACACCGGCCCATAGCCGTAAACACTGTGGCAGGATTGTGTGGGACCCCTGACTCCCATAGTCTCTTAGTTGGCGCTGTTAGTGCTCCGTCAGTGTCCCTCTTATTGGAAGCTGAAGTGTATTCTGCTTGTAATTTTCAGAAATACGATGACCTCAATATACCCCTTCACCATGCTTTGCGTGGCGTTGCCTAAGCCATCATCGGTTTGCCTTGCATCAGCGTCCGGCTTCTAGTCCACCGTGGGGCACATTTATGGTTCCGTGGAGCTGCCAGCATGGTAAATGGTACCATACCATCATCCGTATCACAATCACTGACTTTCCTTTCGGATCTTATCTTCTTCGTGACTCCATTTGGAAGTGCTTTCGCCCCTCCTAACCAACTCTCAAACATCCAAGTATCGCGAAAGGCAAAGCCTGTCACTTCTCACGTTACCATGCGTTCGGGTGCTGCGGATGTTGGGGATAGGCACCCATCGTGATACCAAAGTTCGCATTCCTGGCATCTCATACTAGAGGCCACTTCGGAGTGGCACTCTAGCCTACCACTGGCTTTGCTGCCCCAGTTTGGGATGACGACCTCACAGAAACCCGGGACATACTTGATAGAAGTGGATAACACCTGGGCAGGATGACGAAAAGAACAAGGAATCTCTGCAAAGCGTATCAAAAAGACTGCTTAAGCCAAGAAAGCTATCTACAACAGTAGGTAGGTAATCACCAGAAAGTTTCCTGAGAGGCTTATGTCTTCTTTTGACCGAACGATACTTCGGTTAGAGGAGAATAACAGGAGACTATTATGTGTAATCGCAAAAGTATTAAGGAGTTAACCGAGCACAAAAAGCTACTTCCCTTTCGAAACGCGTGTACCACTGGATGATGACATTCTGCTTCCTTCTGTTAATGGCAGTGTCTTGTTGTTGTCTTACTTGACCTAGAAGGCTGTTTATTCCTCCAAGTGTTTGTTCCTATGCCGACGCGCTTAAATTGGTATTTGAGAAATGTGTGGAAATCTTCTGTGTTAGCAGTGTAGACTTTATTTTCGGGAGGAGGGTATGTTTGACTTCATAATTTCATCTTTTGGTGGCCGAATAAACATTCGATCTTAAATCACAACGTCTAATACATTGTGTTATCTCCAATAGTCATGTTGGTTATCAATCAATACACAAAATTACATGAGAAGGAAAGAATAACACTAGATATAAGACAACAAATTGCTTAGCATCATCATTATTACTTCTCAAACAATCTTTCAACGTGAAAGATATATATTAGGGTGGCAGATAAGTGCTGGCATATGTGGAAAAACAGTTTTACAATGGCAAACAAATTTCAGCCCACGGATAATTATAAAAAATGATCTCAAAACCCTATTTAGGGAGTTACTACAGCCCTGAAAGACAAGGAATTGGTGGTACAAATATTTCTGTCAATCCTTCGTGGTAAAATCATGCAAGCGAACTTGCCTCGTGAGGAGACAAGGTCAAAAAGCACCTTCTGCAACAGCCCAAATCCAATAATCTTGACCTGAACGCGGTAAATAACCTGGCAGTGCTAAATAACGTGAATCTGACAAGTTCCTGTGTTCTACCGTATAGTTCCGAACTTCCGCGAGTGACGTAGGGTCGAAGGTTGGATCAAAAATATCAAAACACGGTTCGTAGTAAATCGGTGGCAGATTCGTACAAAATCTGTCGTGCTATCAAAGTAATAATAAGTTGTATCAAAATTACAAAAGTACCTCAACAGTCCAAACGTTCTCGGGCACAAACGCTTACTATACAGCAAAAACTGGTAAACAAACACGATTGTTAAGTAACTGAGAGTCAGTGAGAATGTTCCCGATAAAAGGAGATCAAAAATCTGCCTACTAGAATCAAATCAACAAAACGAACGTTTCCAGTAAGTTGAGCCAAAGCAAAATGTCGGGTGCAGTAAAACAACGCCGCTTTGTCAACAGTCCAGCGTCATATAACAGAAAAATGAAGCATTCATGATAAGTCTCAAGCATACAAGAACAAATACTGAGCTGAAGGTCAAAGAAGACAGTCGAACATTATTACCCATTGAGTCAAATATGTTTGGGACAGTGCACCCTGAGGTGAAAAGGTGCCATGTAAACCATGGAAGTCAGCATTCACTGCTAAAAGTGCTGCCATTCACAAGCTTATCAATTACCTTTTCCCAATCGAGATAAGAGCCGAAGAAAGCAGATCGCCACGGTAACGGTCTGTTTCTGGTGCTACGTAGGTGACACTGTAGGCCGCAGATCTTAGCGGGCCAGATGTGAGCTTGAATGTAGCTGCGATACTTGTCAGTGTTAGATTTACTGGTTTTTTATGCCATGAGTATGTTGATGCTTTTCTATTACGCAGTTAAGTAGTTTCCATTTAGTGGTAACAGAAGTTTTTTCCGATAGAGTCCCTTGGAAAAATCACAGTGCCTAAAAACTTAATCAACACCCAACTGCCTGTCATGTTAACAAGTACAACAGGCATGGGTAAACCTACTGAATCGGAACCCACCAAAGACCCAGGGGAGTTCTGCAAGGCCTAAAAGCACTCCATAGAACCATAAAAAAGCGTGGAGAAGTTTACTGGCCTGTATTAGTTAGTTAAAAAAAGTTGGATGTATTGGACATTGGAGTCCGTTTGAATATGTCGGGGTTTACTAAGGTCTTTTGTGTCGACTTTTCAAACTTATAGATCTGTATATCTGAATGCGCCTTAGAGACCTAGAAGTTGGATATGTCTGACGTTTTTCATGTCGTTGAACATACTCAGCTTACTGCACAAAAAGATGTAATATATTATTCGTATGCGATGACAGGTTATTTTCAGCTAGTCTCATGTAATTTCAAGTGCATTGAGCGACCCGAGACTAAAGTCGTTATACTTGGCTCAAGTCTTTTCATTTTTGACGGTGGATTTAAGTTGATTGACTCCTACAAACACAGTAAGATGCGCAACATAAAAGTCAGTCTCTAGGCTGCAACCTACAGAAGGTTTGTGCTCCCACCACTGTGTTGTTTTTGCTTCTCCTTGATGTGAAAAATATTGTGAACATTTACGTTCCTGAAACCAACAGTTTGGCGTTTTCCTTGGTTAGCATTAGATTCATAAATTAGATATGTTTAGACACAATTTGAAGGGATTTCAGACGTGCAGCTGGTGAAAAGATCTCCAGGTAATCATTACTCATTATCCATTTAGTCCCAGAGTATTTTGATCTTCTGTTGGTGTCACAAGATACTCTCTTCATATGGAGAGATCTCAACGCTTCACAGCTGCACTCAGGTAAGCTTCAGTATCAATAGGAAAAGTTCCGTTTTTATTTTGTATCCTAATTAACCGCATATTCTCTTGCTAGAACTCGTGAAACGAAACTACGAAGAGTTGAAAAGTCACTTTAAAAGTTTTGAATGCATTCCTGTTGTGGGAAAGACGTTTTTATGCTATGACCTAATTCTGAACACTATTTGGAGTCTCCAGCTGGTAATTCTTTCTCATAAACTTTATTTACTTAAAGAGGGGTCGTTGGTTTGTTACAGCGCACGCCAAAGAATGCCGAAGCCCTTTCGCTCAGTGTCTCATCGATCCGTTCTCAGTTGTTGAGAATGGCATATCGTTGCAAAAAGTGTCACTCATTTGCGAAACAATCTATGCTGTGGCACTTTCTTGCTCAGTAAGTCATTATCTTTGTCAAATCTCACTCAGGTAAAAAGCAGTTCTTTTTCTACTGCTCATTTCCACTTTTTCTTCTAATTGATCTTAACTTTCATGGTTTTTTTGACAGTCACAAAATGTCATGTCCATTTGTGGGATCGATTTTCAGCACAACCCATACAATTGTATCGCACACATTCCGTTCGGGTTTCAGAATGGTTTTCATTCATTTGGAAGTGTTTAGTGGGCTCCAAACTCAAGTTAAAAACTAGCGAGGGAATGTTATTCTAGGATCACCAACGACAACGGGTATATGGTAATTGTTAAAAACAATGAGGCACCGAGGGTTTTTGAAATCAATAGTCGTATTTCGCTGTTATGTATATGAAGTTAAAAGTCTGATTCGTGTTGGAGTGATATTTTTTTCACAATAATTTGAGATGATTCCATGAAGTCAGGAAAAATGGCATACATTGGCATTTCTCCGTGTCACTTGTGTTATGATCCATTTTTCATCTGATGTAGCAAATTGTCGTTTGTAGATATGTGGCCACGTATTCACCTGACTTCAAGCTTTCCCATCACCTTCCTATTTTCCTATGTTTATTCACAGACAATTCCTTCTCTACGTATTCCATCCATACTGTCTATTAAAACTTCTACTCAATATACCCATTAAGTTGTATGTATGTAAATCTCTCTTGTTGATAACGAACTAATACATTGACAAAAGTGACTTAATGTAATATGTCCGGCATTTCTCCAGTATGTTGTTTCCTCGAATACTTGGGTATAAAACACTTAGTATGTTCATGTTTTCTTTTGGTCAGTAGTGCTCTTGTACTGCGTGTAATAATGTACAAGGTCTTATCCGGAAAATCGACTCAAAATGCACTCAGCAACCTTCTGTACATTCGTGCTGTAGGCAGTTAACTATACCTATAATTTGAGCTGATGATATAACTTGACTGCTCAAACCTCTGTAGGTGTGTTGGGTTTAGATCCCTGACCCACTGAATGAGTTATAAACCAGTCATCCACAGCTCTTCAAGAGCTTTGTTGACATGAAGTTGGTTTTTACTGAACATTTTAAAGTTGATTTCGAACTGTTCTTATCGGCTAGAGTCAATTCAGTGAAAGAATAGTATACTACGAAATGTATGCTTACTTTAGTGGCTTTCGAATCATTAGCACTGTATATAGTTCCGCAGATTTTTGCCTTGTCGGTTTTGAAACCATGTTCTCTGAAACGTTTTCATTCTACCAAATTACTTTCATAGTAATTAAAATTTTGCTCTGGTCATTGATCAGATCTCCCATTGTAAAATGGTGACAGAACAAGCTTGCGCTACTATTTTGAAAAATGTTTGAGAAGGCCTCATTAAACTGATGAAGTTCGATAGTTTCTGTCAGCGGTTAGTCATAATATACCGTATTTACTTTGAGCTTTAGTTTCTGAAAATGCTTTAAAAATACAACTATATTCAGTGACTCGAATTAAAAGTCACATTGTTAAGTGCATTTTTTTGGCTTTGCGGGAGTTGCATACTATACTGTATTAGTTGTGAAGATACTACGGGACTTAGTAAGTACGTTGAAATATTTACAGGTCGACCGACAATAAAACTGAATTTTTGTGTGATTCGCAACAAAAGAATCTGCCGATAAATGGTACTGGATTGCAGGTGTAAGCCTTAAGCTACGAAAAACTTAAGCTACTGAACCTCCTCACCTAAGTGATTGATATAGAGTCATCGAACTTACACAGTAACTCCTTGATGCTGAATAGTTGCAATAGACACTTCATACATAGATGTGTCGGCTGCTGTAGAATAAGTTGAAGAGCATAATTGCTTGTTTACCCACTTCGAGTTCATAGAAATGCCGGTCATTGAGTTATCGTGATCAACTGCAGGTAATCAGCATTATTTACGTGAAAGTATCCTGACCAAAAACGCTCATTCTGTGAACCTTTCTACACATTCTATCATCCATTCACACTTCAATTGTTATCAAAAGTACCTTTATCGTTATCAATGTTATTATTATTGTCAATTATTATGTATTGTTTGATGTTCAGATATCTTTCCAAAATAGTAATCTATTCTTTCTCACCCCTGATAACTCACAATCCCATTGTACTTTTCGTAGTGGAACCAAATTTCCTCACCATATTTTTGTTCCTTCTTACATAACTGGAGAAAAGCCTCTCTGACCGGCTTGCTAATTCACTCACCTGCATTACATTGGCCTTTTTTCCATATCACCATGTAAGTGGAGAATCATAAAGCTCACTTTCTGTACCAAAACTTAAATATGAACCTAGAAACTTAGTGTCAGATTCATACTCTGGAAAAGGATCTTCCTAGCAAGATCGAAACGTTAAGGAATGATGCAAAATATGTTCGTTTTGCTGTTTGTTCTAATATACTACGCCAGGATTACATAAGTAAAAATACACCTTATGCAATAAATTATTTACTCTTACCAATGTGACTTATTCTATTTCACTTTTGACTGCGTCATGGTTTTAGAAGGAAGGTACCATTTGACTACGGGAAATTCGCACTTGTGATTTTGTTTCACTTATAATGCAGGGAGAAAATATTACAATGGTTTTTCATCTTTATAAATGCTGTCGTGGGATTGTGTGATGTATGCACTGGCCTTTATTGTAAAAGTGAATGTACCAAGCTGTTTCGATACTACTTTTGTGGTAAATTAGCACAGTGTGGCAAATATGACTACCGTAAATGTTTATGTGTTGATATACACTGAAATTTTCAAATCGGAATTTTTATTTAATAAATAAATCTATAGAAAATATAAGATCAAATTCGATGATCGCTAGTACTGAGAAACTCAGAATATACATCCATTTCAGAATAGTAATTTGCTTGGAGTTCTACTCTGATATCCGCTCAGAATTCACCCGTCAACTAAAGCACAGAGCTTAGTGAATTAAATATTCATCCTCAAAATAGGCAAATGAAATGGATTCACTGAGCAGGTTGATAGACCGCCTATAAGTATTCATTGACATGTTTCAAAATGACATGATTGTATTTTTAAGCCCTTTACATAATGTTTCAGCTATTTTTTATCTTTTCAGGGTCAATTATTCTTGTTTAATTTGTTTGCTGGTGTATGCTTGGGTCCCATTACCAAATATTCCAAAATTAGTGACTTCTGCATTTATCCCTTAACCAGCCAAACTGTAGTCAATCCTGATAGTGAATACCCAGGCTTGTATAGAATTATTATCTTCATCTTACGAGATCTGGAAGAAAATGATCAACCATCATCTACCGGACCTACAAAAATCTTGAAGTTATTTTTTTTCCAAGGTTAGTAGTTAAAGGCTGTTACGAATTTAGGTTATACCGACATTTTTAGTCATACGAACTTCGAATTTTTGTGCTGGCAATTAGTTATTTAAGCAACTTACTCTGCAACTTTAGCGAAAAAAGATGGTTTCAACAACTACTGAGTGCCAATTTATGCACCTCGTGTCTAGTGAAAATTGAAACAGGGAGGAAGCCTAGCTTTCAGTTTCATCTTTCAGTCGTAATATGCTCTGTCCATCGCACTGCAGTAAACGTGACTGCTTGAGTTCAAGCACCTAGTAATATAGATAACTGATGAGGTATGAGTATTAATTTCAGTAGCCTCTTAGCATCTCAAACGCTCGTAACAATTTGATTTTGTGAGAAGTTTGAGCGAAAATCCTTAGGAGGGTTTTAATTCCAACAACTAATAAACTGCCATCTCAGTCAACCACTTGATTTTTCAGTTCATGTAGAAGTGTTACAAATTTAGCAGATGAAAAGCGACAAAGTATATGACACTGACTGACAATTTGAAAATGTTTGGGATGCGTTTCTCATCGCCCAAATACAAATTGTTGCTCCAGGATTGGTCTTCATCAGTGCCTCGGCTAACAGTAGAGTGTAGTGGTTGAGTGTGTCGACCACTTCACTTACCTGGGAAGAAGGATCAGTCCTAGTGGCTCAGTTACCGATGAAATCTCTGCATGGATACAAAAGGCCTGACTGGCTTTTGCCAACTTACTCCACCTGTGGCACAGCCGTGATATCCGATTGTCGCGTGTACTGCATAGCAGTCCGCTCTGTTCTACTGTATGGCTGTGAAACATGGCCATTGAAGGTGGAAGACATGAGAAGGTCTTAGGTGTTTGACCACCATTGCATTCGTAGTATAGGTCGTATTCCGTGGTGTCACCATGTGAGTAACGCAGAAGTTAGGTGTATAATTTTAGGGCGAAGAGGTAAATTGGTTGACGAGGTTGTGAACCTTCATCGACTGAGATGGTTGGGCCATGTGTTACGTATGCCTAGTCGTCGATTACCTCGTCACACAATGTTAGCCGAAGTAGGTTCAGGCTGGAAAAAGACCCGAGGCTGCCAGACCAAAACATGGCACCAATGTATGAAGTATTTGACTGTTTGTGGGGACGATGGAGACTGGGTGGTTGTGGTCCGCGGGACAAGAGAAACCAATGGTTGGAGACTCTAAGTAATATGGTTGAGAACCGATGTCAGTGGTGCAGATGTATGCACGCATTATCCTCATATTAACGTTATACGGAATCTCACATTTTCTCTCCTTTAGTACTGTATATTTCTTTTGACTTGAATTTTCTTTTCTTCATCTTCCACTTCACTGCATTTTTCCTTGATGTACTGATAAGTGGTGCGGTAACTCGGACCGGTATACAGTAATGCCTAGTCCTATGTTGATTTGGATGCATGGAGTAATTGTGGAAATGTCCGTTACCGTTTGTATCATATTGCTGTCATTTGCATGCGTATTATCAGATTACGTTAATTAGCGAAAAAATAATTCCTGCTTTGCCGATCACAATGCTCTGAAGAGCCATTTGGTTGTAAAAATTGTTTTTAGGGATCTTATTAGGCTACAAAAGTCTGGATAGTGATAAAACTAAAGCACTTTCCGTTGTGGTGTAAATTTTTTACGAATGGTGAGCGTCCCAGGACTGAGTCGTATTGCTGGTTGGCCACGGGATAGCAGTAAAGCATACCCCCCAGGGTTAATCACCATTCTATGCTGGTGCTGTCTCTCCTTATCAAAATGAATTGATGCTAACTGACAAAATCAACGTAGAACCTCACACAAGCGTATCGGCTCAAATTGCGACACTCCACAGTAGTACATAGAGAACAGGTGGATAAATAAGAGTGATATCAAGGTAGATGCAGTTATATGAGAGAATAAACAGTCTGATGATAACGGCTAGTGCGAATATGCAAGCTTTACAAGATGTCAAGAAGTGAATACACCTGCACCATTATGACCATTTTTAAGCCATATTAACAAGAGTTCACAACCACTGATTCCTTTCACCTCACCACACGACTCAGACTAACAGTAGGAGACTTCATCGACTGGTGCCAGGTTTGATCTGGCCACCCTGATCCCTCTTCCAGCTTAATCCAATTTCTCCTAGGATGACACGTCGAAGTAGGCGGTGGCTTGGCATGCGTAGTACATGTCCAAGTCATCTCAGTCGACTAAGGTCCACAAACTCATCAATCAACTAGTCTGTCTCGCCTAGTACCCTTCGCCTGACTTCAACATTGCTAACGCAGTGCTGTTATCAAACGTGAGCAATGTTATAAAGAAATCCGTGATCAAAACCCTGTAATTGTTTCAAGTCTACTTTTAACGACCATGTCTCAGCCGTACAACAGGAATAACGAACTGCATTGCAGTATCGTCGTCCTTTGATAGATAGTCGGGTATCTCGCCAGTCAGCACCACAGATGACGCAAGTTGGCAAATGCCAAACAGCACCTCTTTATCCCAGTTGAGATTTCGTTGGCAACCAGTCCATTCGGACTGATGCTACCAGTAGACTGCGCGTAATTGCAGCAGACTAGTCCTGGAGCATCTTACATTTTACAGGTGCGAAACTCATGCCAAATATACAGAATTTTTCCTCAACGCGTCCAGATCTTGCATTTTGTCAGCATCTTCACCTAGCAGGGCAATATCATCTGCGTACTCCAAACCAACCAGATGACCTCCAGTGAGTAGATCAAACCTTGTGAAGTCAGATGTACATAGGGTTATACCAGCTAGTACGTCTATGACGATGTTAAATAGGAGCGGTGACGGTGGACATCCCTTGCGAACACCACTGGTTGTCGCCAACTCACATGACAACTCTCCATGAGCCCTAACACTGCCACTTGAGTTTGAGTAGAGAGCCTTGGTTAACTCTATGTACTAGCTCGGTACTGCCTTAACAGTCAGACACTGCCACAACACCTCACAGTCAACAGAGTCAAATGCCATCTTCATGCCAAAAAATACTGCAAATGTCGGCCGTTGTCCAGTTAGCATGTCTGTTTTAGAACCTGTCTTAGGGTAAAAATGTGATCGATATACCCTCGTCTCGGTCTAAAACCTGCCTGGTTTTCTCGAGTTTACTGTTCTCGAGCTCCAGTTGGGCGCTGGATAACTATAGACCCTAGGATCTTGGACACTTAAACTAATTTCCCTGTGGTTGTTATAAGATTTCTTCCCCTTCTTATAGACTAGGATGATCAGTGAAATACACCGGTCTAATGGCTTTACCTCTTCTTATACACTGCCTAGTGCCTCCATCACTTTAACCAACAATTTTAAACCTCCATCCTTGAAAACGGGTGGCAAACTTTTACGTCCTGGTGCCTTGCACCGTTTCAGGTTCGATACAGCTTTCTCAGTTTCGATGACAGCTGAAGGACTTAAATCTATGTTTCATTCAGGTTCAGGTTGGATGTTGGGTAACTGAAGTGTTACTGAGGGCCAGTTGGACTGTGCTTCAAGGTGTTTTGCCCAACTTTCTAGCCGCCTCTCCTGGGAGGTTATCAGTGTCTCATGATGGTTTCAATCGCAATCGTCTTCTTCTTGTCAGTATCGCGAATAAGCATAAATAGTTTCCGGTGTCAACTACTACTGACGCCGTTTGTATCTCTCTCACTTTCGCCACTCACCACTACTCGCTGTCGAGGTGAAAACTTGGTCAACGTACGTTTAAGTTACTTTTGCTCTTCATCGTGGTCAGACCCAGCTTGAATGAATCTTCTCACATCATTCAGTTCGGATGACGTCGCGGACATCCAGTGACGTTTGCTAACCTTCGTGTGTAGATTATCAACTGTCCGTATTGCTGTTTCTACAGCAGACTTACTGTCATGTCAGATTTCTTTGGGATGAGCATTGCTGTTACATTCAGATAAATGCTAAGCTGACTCCTCTCTAAATGCAGGCTTGGTGTCCTCACCTACTAGTCGAGTACAGATGGGTCTCACTGCCTCTCCTTTCCTGATGGCAGTAAGGGTCGAACAGACGAACCCATATTAGCCCGTCATCGGAGTCAGAAATTAGTGCTTTAGAAAGAGCGGCAATCCATCGATCCTCTCCAACTATAGCTACTATCAATATGGTCTAAGTGTCCATGTTTGATTTAAAGTCGGTGGACACCATGATACACTGTCTCTCCTTATACCTAAAGTTAGTGCGGGCCAGATACAGGTGATTGTCAGTACGAAATTGCAACAGACGATCACCGTTGTCCGTTCGTTGGCATAGGATTCTGTCAATGCCCACATGACACCTTTTCTGTTGTCTCAGCTGCCCTGCTTGAGCGTTAAAGTCACCTGCTACTATGACTACATCTGAAAGTTTTGCTCTTCCTTCGAATTCAGCCTTTGTATCATCCGAACTACGGTCAGTAGGTGCATGGGCGGAGATAACGATTGGGTATCGACTGGTCTCACGGTCCTACAGATTCATTCAGTCGAACATCACATAGCTGGGTGTTGACTAGTATCCAGCCGAGAGGCGCACTTTCTGCTCTATAATTCAATGTTGTGCCTACATCAGCGAGCCCACGAAAGGTAGCCAGTGGGTCTCCGGATGCTCTTAAGGTGAGTTTCGAAGACTCACCACAATGGTCAGATGATACCAACTTTATAACTAGACTCAGGTCCTGTATATACCTCTCAAAGACAACACACATCTATAGCCAGAGATTCCAGAGTTTTTGGGATTGATGTTGCTGTCCTATTTGACATAGGTTTCGGACGTTGAAATCTCCAACATGAAATAGATATTGGGGCCTAGGGAAACTAGAAATGAGGTTTTGATAATTGGCAATGGTTGCAGAGTGAGAGATGGGGTAAGGTGTAAGATGCTAAACATTAGTATCATGAGGTGAAGCCGGAGGAGGAGACAGAGATGAGGTTTAATTGGGTCTTGTGTACTCTGGAGGCATGCGGGTGGTTGACACTTTCCGGCTGCCCACACGGTAGATGGCTATTTCTTCTTAAGGTACCTGGGAGAGGAAAACATTTGTCTGCCCACAGAGCCCATAGGATATCCGCTTTAGGCCTGCAAATGACCAAAGTTGTCGTTCTAAAGACTTCCAGTACTTGCGGTATGGGTGCTTTTAGCCCGAACACAATACAGTGGGTCTGACACGGAGATTTCTCGTAGAGATCGTGTATGGTTAACCTTGAGCAGATGTGATCAAGCTTGTTGGTCACCACCTACAACACTGCAGTTTCTTTTTCTGGTACTTAACCAAATCCACTCACAAAGTTAGCATCCAGGGAGTATTAAGTGCCTGCATGGTTCCTGTCAGTCAACATCATCATGGGACTTGGTTCCACTGCGTAGTAGCCCTTGTTGCCACACCTTACAGGTGGTTGAAGACAATCGACTGAAAACCTTGGACCTAGGTTGCGCCCTTCTGTCACTTATTAGCGTGGCATACTCGCTCAGTGATTTTAATCCTCGTCAACCAGCACTGCAAGCAAAACTTTTCACTGATTTGGAGCAGCAATTAATCTGAAGTTAGTTTCTCCAGCGACTAGTTGATGTACCGAGTAGTGTAACAGAGCTATGGGGTAGTGTATACGAACCGGAAGTATCCCCATCATACTGGTCTAAACCATTTCCTAATCCTGTTTCTAAAAAGGTGGCAAGTCTTCTTGCAACCTTCATAACAGTGATATTGACTTGCATCATTTTCTAGACCGTAAAGAGCATAGTTACGCGAAATTTCTCCAGAGTCTTTCATATCATTCCAACCCAGCTTGCGGTTACTGACTCTTTGTCTCTTTATATTCGTCTCATCACTACTATTACTAGAGTTTTTACTCTCATTGTGCTATCATCAGTTCCTCCCGTCCGCTTATCACTCCAGTTGAGATAACTTTTCTCATGATTACACTATTCAGTTAAATACTTCGCCTTTATACTGTGACTTTTTTACATTTATTCTGCAGTATTCACCCATAAAAAGGATACAATTTTTTCCCAGTTTTAGCGTTATCTATTTCTGATTTTCCTCAGTATTGTCTGCACTTTTACCACCAAAACGAACTGCTTTCTATTTTGCATGTTTAGTGTTAGTTATGGTTTGCAATTGTTCATAACTTTCAAGTTGTTGTGTACTAAATGAGTAAACGCAAAGCAAAAACTAATCCATTCTTTTCGGAAGCAATTTTTACACAGCACTAAATAAAATTAGGTCCCTTTCCATTGAAAGTAAAAAAATGTTGAAGTAAAACTTGGGTACTGTGACAGAGTGAAATTCAACATTAAATTGTTTATTTTATACAGCACATAATGATTCAATACTGCTTACTGGATGATGTTTCGGGCGACAGATTCTGCTGGAGTTTCTCAACGCCTGGAACTAATTCTGCCTATGTATAACATGCATTTCGCATCTGTCACACGTAAGATGATGCTTTTGAAACTGGTCTGGATCGGCTCTTTGTTTAAAGGTAAAAAGTAAAGCAGTGGAATGTGCTAACCACGTTGCACCAGCCCAGATGGGTTGGTTGCTGACACAATCTCATTTTTGATACGGAAGGCCTATTTGGTATTCGTAAACTTACTTCATCTCTGACACCTACTGATTTGATATTCGACTGTCTGTCAAGGGAAAAGCATACTGTGCAGCTCTGTTCTATTGTTTGGCTGTGAGAATGTCGTTAAAAGTATAAAAGCATGAAAAGGTGACAGGTTTTTGGTCACAGGTGTCTTCGTAACATATCTCTTTGGTGGGATCACGTTGTTAGCAGTAGCGAGGTCATGTGAAAGGTGCTAGGCAAGGAAATAAATTCAGTCGATGAGGTTGTGAACCTTTTCTTATTGAGGTAATTTGAACATGTGTTGCGCATGCCGATCCACCACCTTTCTCGATGTGCATGCAAAATATAATGAATCCAAAACATTTCTTTTTGCATGGAAATTATCATAAGGTATACAGTACTTGACGTTTTTATGTGAAGCAGTTAATGAATTTTACTACATTTGAAATCATTCTCACTCAAAGCCATCATATTAGTTTTCATTGATAGGCTGGATCAGCTGTTTTGAGGGATTATTGACACACGTTGTATCGGTCAACATTTATCTTGACATACTGGTATGAATCATCTCATAATTGGTTAACTCTTTCCCTCGCATTTCCAGGTATCGAGTTATTCATCGTATGCATGTTGCTAAGGAATCATGGCTGCTTTCTGATTTTGTTGTGGTGACTATCAACCAACTGAAACAACTTTGAACGGTGCACGGGTACTTTTTGGAGAGTTGCATTCAGATGATTCTGATGATATGACGAAAGATTGTTTGTTATCTATCAAGACGTTGAAAGAAACTAACCCGAAAGAAAAGTGAGTGTTAGTTACTTCCTTAGCTAGTAGCCTGTTTTACTTTTAGTGGTTATCCTCTACTGAATTGATCATTATTGCAATCAAATTAAGACTATGAAAGATATTTGAAGCTTAAATAGACTAATTGTACAGATTTCTCTGTTTTAATAGCCTAATACGAAGCAATGAATTGCTATGTTAATGCTTTCATAACCAGTAACTCACATCCTAAACTGGTAAACTAATTTTGTTTCTCATTATTATTGCGTCTGCAATTAATTGAGAAAGTGGTGATCCCATTGTAATTCTTTCAGTCCTTCATATATATTTAACTAATTAATTGGAAGTGTTATTAGACAGAAATCAATGAGTTCAACCAAAAGTGAACACTAAGGGTTTGTGATCCTGAGAGCCTTGCATATCAACGAGATCACCAAGAATCTAAACAACTCATCACAACTGAACAAATAGCAAAACAATGATACAAGCTAGATTTGAATGAACTTGCTCTTTCTTAGCATAATAGTAAGCCAAAAACCTACAAATGAAGCATTCTAGCAAAGTCGGCAGTTTCATTTCCGTGAAACGAGCTATTTATGATATCTATAGGATATCTATTATTATTATTATTATTATTATTATTATTATTATTATTATTTCTCCCTTGGGTTCCTACTGGAACATTGCGCTTCAGTAGCACGTCTCCATTGCACTCTATTCTCTGCAGTCTTTTCAACTTGGCTCCACGTCTGCCCGGGAGCTTTCATTTTTTCTCACACGATCTCCTCCATGTCACCTTGGACGCCCAACTCGTCGTTTCCTATTTGAGTTCCACTCGAGGACCTACGCTGGTGCGTGATGTCCCTGAATGGTCTTCTCAGCGTATACCCAATTCATCTCCATTCTCTTCTGCTTTTCGCGACGCACCTGTAGATCTTAGAGTTTGTCCCACATAAGGCATTAGGCATAGATCACGATCGGTGAAATCCAAATCTTCTAGGCTCTTCACAAACAGCGTATGCCCATCTTCTCGCTCCTCACAGTGCAGTCGACCACGATCAGGAGGAGGATGATGGGTGATAGTAGGCGACAGCGTTGTCTTACTCCTTTCTTCACTTGAAAGGCGTCACTGAGCTTTCCATTGTGAATCACTTGGCATGTGGTGTCGTCATCTAGTTGTTGAATGAGTTTGATAAAGGTTTGTGGCAGTGAGACCGTATTGTTGAAGCAGCTGTCTGTCGAATTACTTGTCGGTAGAGGTTGTTGAAGGCCTTTTAAAAATCAATGGGGTTGAGGTAGAGAGTTGACTGTCATTCTGTGCTCTGTTCTGTGATGATGTGTAGCGTTGCGTTGCGTTGCAATTCGATGCGCACATGATTTGTTCTTCCTGAAGCCAGCCAGTCAGCCAGTCTGTTCCTGTCGTAATTTTGAATCCAGGGCACCTTTTAATCTCTCCAGGATGATGCGGTATAATATTTTGCTTGGGGTGGACAGCAGCATGATTCCGCGCCAGTTCTTGCAAAGACGTAGTTCGCTCTTCTTTGGGAGTTTGATAAGGCAGCCCTTCTTCCACTCGGTAGGTATCTTTCCTTCCTTCCAAACCTTCTGCAACAGTGGTGTGAGCATGTCCGCTGTTGTCTCTGCGTCTGTTCTCAGTGCTTCTGCAGGAATTCCATCTGGTCCTGCTGCTTTCCCAGATTTCAGCAGTTTTATGGCATTCAGGACTTTGAGTTTTGTTGGAGGGCTTGTGTTCACTGGTAATTCTGTGGTTACTGGTGGTATTTGTTGACGAGTTGCAGGTGATGGTGTTGGTCGATTCAAGAGCTTTTCGAAGTGGTCAGCCCATTGTTTCCTTTGTTTCTCCTCTTTTTGGTAACTGGGTTTCCTGCACTATTTCTCATTGGTTTCATCAGAGTTGATCTCTTCCCAAATAGTAACCTGGTTATTTGATATAATATCTCTCCTACAAGTAGTCTGTTCTGCTTCACTTGTCAATGTGTCATAAAAGTGTCTTTTGTCTTTGCGTGCACTCTTTTCCACTTCTTTGTCCCGCGTAGTGTTTTACAGGCTGTGTTCAGTTCCTTTTTCGTTGTTCATTCCTGCACTGGTTCATCTTCTGATTCACCATCTTCCTCTCCCTCCTCTATCAGCTTCCATGTATCTGTCGAGATCCATTCCTTGTCTTGTCTTTGTCTTTTTCCTACTTAATACGGTTATGCAGGTTTGCTTCCACGTCTGTTTCAAAGGGTTGCAGTGTTCTTCCACACAAGTTTCCTCGGGGATGTTGGCTAATGTCTCCCATTTTTACCTGATAGCTGACGTGAAGATGTCCTTTGTAGTTTTGTCTTTCAGTTTCTGTTCTGGGTGTTGAACTTGAACTGTGGTCTATCATCACCAGGTTGTTTGAATGCTTTCAACTTGATTTTGAAGGTAGGTTCCTTGCACTAGATAGTGCTTCGAACCTACATCTGCTCCTCTTCTTGACCTTGTCTCAAGTAGGCTGCGTCTTTACTTTCTTCACATTGAGATGAAGTCGATGTGATTTTTACTGTAGTGTGTCCCGGTGTCTAGTGAAATGAATTCCATGTCGCTCTCTTTGTGAGTATCCTTGTTTTTGTAAACACTGCCTCCAATCACCGAATCAATAAATCGTCAGAAGTCTGCAAACAGTCCTCCATTCTCATTCATTTCACCAAGTGCTCGACCCGTGGTTAGTTCCCTTCCTGTGTTATCTGCTCCCAGTTTGTCATTCATGTCACCCATTAGAATGAATTTTGACGTCGCCAACTGGAGTCTTGTCACTACTGATTGCAACTGTCCATAGAATTCCTTATTCTTTTTTTGATCCGCATTATTTGTAGGTGCGTAGCGTAGCATTGTGTGATTGTGACTTTCTTCATTTTGAGTTGAATCTTGTCGTCATAATCCTGCAGGAGAAGATTCGTTCGCATTTGCATGAGAACCTTCGATGCTGTTGAGGACATCATGATAGCCACTGCAAAACTCAGTTTGGTCGTGGTTGTCGTCTGGTTGACAATGTCGGAGTAGATTATTGACTCTCCAGTTAACAGTTTGGAGAACCCACTTCCATTTCATCTGCTTTCGCAGATTCCTAGCACTTTTGTGCTATATCTTCTCATCTCTTTTTCAATCTGAGCAGCCTTGCCAGCCAGCTTCGAACATTTTGCGGATATCCCATGTCCCCATGTTTACCTTTGCTTTCATCTAGAAAAGTGAAGACATCTGCCAGTCGACTTCCCGAAGGCTTTCACCAACCGGCGTCATTTCGTCTTTCCGATTCCAGCGAGGAATTAGTCCGTTTTTATTTTTATATTTTCTTTGTGCTTCGAAGTTTCTTTAGCGATTGGATTGGTTTTCCGTAGTAGGGTTGCTAGCCCCCATGCTCAACCTTTCCTATTTGTCCTCCGGGCTTAGGACCGGCTAGTAACTAGTGAACTAGTCAACCAGGTGAGGTTATCTATAGGATATAGGTAGTACAAATCAAAAACTACTGTCACAGGCTAGTAGATCGGCGTAGAATATGGCAGAAAAGTGCATCACTTTAATTTGCCATACTTCACCATAGCATCAGAGGAATTCAGTCATGCAAAAAGAAGTATTCAAGTATAAGTGGAAAACGAGTAAATAAATGAACGTTGATAAAAATACAAACTATTTCGATGATAAGCGTATTCATTAGTACCATTATGATCTATCTTGAGCCATTATCACTCAGTGTCCAACCATTCATATCTATAGTCTTAACGACCCCAGCTAGGATTATCACTTGATTGCCACAACCTTTGTAGGGGGATTAGTCGATGACTTGGACGTACTGTGAATACCATCCTTATAACTCACGTCATTCACTATTTTTAGTTATGGGACTGGACGAAAGAATCAGATGGTTTGCCAGTCTTTGATATGGTGAGATGGAGTGAATAATAATTGTGTTAACTGAATGTTTATTAATTTACCAGGACTTCCTGGGTGAGGTCGAAAAAACCATGCGACTGATTGATTGTTGACGTAACTAGATGTGGCTCATTGTGAAGATGGAAATAGTAGGCAGTCTTTTAAATTCATCTTATTAGGTTGCTTCGTGCATGATTTCGTTGCTTTTCCTCCGTTTATCTTTTTGGTTTGGTAATGCTACATTATTTCTCGCTGTCTCGTGTTTGTTAAAACTAAATGAGTAATCAAATAAGTGAAGTGGTGTTCACACTAGTAACTTGCTAAGAGAAACTTAAGTACCGAAGCCTTATAGTAGGGTAATGAAAATGAAATAACAATCTTCCGAGCCTCTTAGTTTTGAAGCGGTGATGATGGTGTGTTGTGTTAATTAAGTCCTGCTTACGTCCATATTTTTAACTGCATCTCAAGTCATTACTCTAATGTTTTTCTGAACCTTGTAAACTGTTAGATCAGACTAAGCAAGGTGTAATAACATCACTGTTTCATTTAAAAAATTGTCACTAAATGCCTAACCGGCGTTCAAGGTTTCTGTATTCAAAAACAGCCGGTCATTCGGTCGTAAACAGTTGCTGCATACGTAGAGTTAAACTATATATAGTCAACACTGTGTCATGACCGATGTTTTGAAAAGCCTATCCAATTATAAAATTATTAGAAATTTACCTGAATTACTGACTTTGATAGGTAAGGAAATTATCATCAGATAATCCACTAAAAACTGTCTTGTATTTCCACAACCCTTGTGCAGGATTTTGTTGGAAAGTAGCTGTCAGTCAGCAAACCGTGGAGAACAAACATTTCTCGGTCTCATAACAAAAGCATTTGTGTTCTATGTTAAACTGTTCATTAGTTAGCCATGTTTTTCCCCACGTTCATTCTATTTTTTGTATTTGATTTTGATCGATCATTGATCAATAAACGTGTTTCAGCTAAAAACGTGAATAACTTATTTCTGAAATAAAATTTTGAGTAATTTCATTACTTCATTCACAAATCGATAATGGGTAAAGAGATGCCTACTTATCCAGAACATAAAAATGGCGTATGCCACAATGTATATTACTTACATTGTAGCATGAAACTTATCAGTGATTTGACTTTAACAAAGGACCAGAAAAGTACCTATTATTCACACTAAAGTGATGGGTTTAGGAATATTGACGGGAAATGTAATCACATTTTTATTGTTAAGCGATCTAGTTTTTTTAAAAACTTTTGCAGTTAAATTCAAATATTGGCGACGTTAGTATCAAGAGATTATAACTTTCTTTAGGGAAATTTCCGTGATGTATGTTTGTTCTCACTACTGTCAGTGATAACTGAAACTATAAGCCTCAGGTTCTTAGAGTTCATACTGGCAACAGTGTGATTTCGAGATAAAATAATCATTTGTTTTTCGTGGCTAAATCATTGAACTCAATGACTAACAGGGATTCAAATATCATTGCCCACGGATTCAAAGCTTGTTTAAATATCCTGAACAGGTGCCTATTAATATCATGCATTGTTGGCTTAAAAGCGAATAATAATTTGCTTATTCTTTTTTCAAGATTAGAATGTCTTCTTGAGTTGGAGAATTTCGATGAAGCCAAGTTACTTGTTAAAACTTTCAATCTTGGTTCTGTGGTAAGTTGTAGTATATGATACTTGTGCAGTGTAGATTTTAATCATTTTGAGGATTTTTCATTCACTAGGTATATTTTGTCATGCTCTGATAACATCAGCCATAAATGTATTTATAAGCAACAACTTAATTTATTCTTATTCATGTATATTTATTTTTCATCTATTTCTTAATCACTTTTATTTCTCTATTTCTAACCTTGTGCTTTCTGTCTTGATGTGCTGATATGAAGTGTGGCAACCTGAACGGTTATACACTAATGCCTGTTACTGTGATGATGTTGGTGACACTACAACTAGTTTTCTTTTTGTAATTACCGTTGACTTTCTGTATTTGTTGTATTCTTCCTCATTTAATTTACAGTAATTATAACTGGAGCAAATTTCAGCCACCTTTTTATAATTTCCGCAGCATAATGTACCTACGTAATCAACTGTTTATAAATGTAAGCGAGCCTCTTAAGTTTGTTTCATACATGTTCAGAATAATAATGATACGCAGCAACCTTGAAAAAGTTCATGTACCATACATTTAACCACATACATTTGGTAGAGAAAGTAATTCTACGTAACGGCAGTTGTCCGGGAAGGGTTCAGTCTTGTTTTCTGATTGGCATTTAAATGCTTCATCCATTGAGCAACACCAATATATTGGAGTAGCTTAACTGTTTAGTCGCATTTAAAATCTATAGGTTTTTAATTTACATGTTTTATTGAGAAGAGTACCTTAGATTCTGAGTAGGTAAACATCAAACTATGGAGATCAAAAGGTTACATGTTCACGACTTTGATGATAAGTACATAAAAGTTGACGTTTCCACTGAGTTGTGTTTACTATTCTCCCTCCAAACAAAAAATGTGCACAAAACAACAAATATCTAAAGAAAAATAAATCAAGGTCAGTATAAAAGTTACCTGGAAGTCAATAAAATTTTACTCATGAATGCTTCGTTGCATTTGATTTACCAGTAGGAATCGCTTTCGATGTAGATGAGTGCTATGTAAGTATAGAACCTGGTTAGGCACTTCAGTAGAGTGTAATCGCTTAGATTACTTTGTTTGATATGAAACACTACGGTGCATTATTACTGACTGTGAATGACTTTTTTGAGCACAAATTATTGCTCATGATCATGTAGTCATACAATAATACCACTTCCTGACCTGGTTTTTACAGTTTTACTACTTTTCCCTTTTTAAGTTCTTAGTAGAATTTTTGATATACCTGAAATCGGTGTCTAATCATGCCTTCTGAAGATGTAGACGTTGATTCAGTGGATGAAGATTCAGTTTTCAACTTTGTCACCAAACAACATCAGTCTTTAAGGCTGTTACTGCATCCCACCCTACTGCGTGTTTGCATTATAATAACTAGTTTCTTCGGGGATTACTTATATTGATTGGGTTTATTATTCAAAACCAAGCTAAGTTCCTTTACTTAGTCAGGTTATTCAAACTAAGAAAATTAGTTGCTTATAATGATAGACCCTACATGGATAAATAATTTGAGAAAAAGGACAATTAGAACTGCTGATAGTTACAAGATAGAGAAAAACAGTTACTTAGCACGGATTTTATCATTTATTACCTTGTTTGATTTACCTGAAGTATATGAACACTATAGCAGTCGTTGTTAACATTAATTCTTAGGCAGCACGTTGACAAAATAGGATACTTAGAAATGATAAAACACAGGAGCTGTGTGAAAGAAAGAGATGTTTATCCAAGATGTTTATAAATAGTGAATATGCACCTATATGCATTTGCTTTATGTGCAAGCAGCTTGACCGATAGCCTCGCATCCGGAGGCATAAAATTATAGTCAACCGATGATATATGACTGCAGGTAGTCAGTGAACCAACCATATTCACTATAAGTGGGTTAAATCACTTATGCATTTTGTCTTATATCTTTTCTCCGTATTTCGAAAAACAGTTATTTGACTAAGCTCAGTCAGTACTAGGGAAATGGTTTTCATGAAGAATGCTAATAAGTCTCCAGGTGAAGAAGAATTTCTTTCAGCCTTTTTTGTATTCATTTTCTGATATCGCCTGACTAGTCAAAATGAAGCAGGTGTTTGTCTCAAGTGTTCTCGACCGTCACTAAACACTGGAGTGATGTCATTTGTCAGGATAGTATAATCCACTTGGTTTGTATTTTTGGAGTGATTTTAAAAGCCACCCTAGCAACCATTGAGATAACCAATTAGACTTCTGTATTTTATGAAAATCTGCCTTTCCAGCCGTAGTGAAGAAACCTGAATGGTCATTTCGATTCTTGCCAGGGTGCTCCTTCAAGCCACCCGATTTTTCTAGAATAAGGAGAACTAATTGGTTTTTCCAGCACCTGCTAGGGTGGCCTATCTTCATTATTATTTTTTTCCCTTGGGTTCCTAATGGAATATAAGGCTTCAGTATCACGCCTCCATTGCACTCTGTTCTCTGCAGTCTTTTCAACCTGGCTCCACGACTGCCCACAAGCTTTCATTTCTTCCTCACACGATCCCCTCCATGTCACCCTCACCTGGGACGCCCAACTCGTCGTTTCCCTTTTGAATTCCATTCGACGGCTTAACCTGGCGCGTGATGTCCCCGAATGGTCTTCTCAGTGTGTGCCCAACCCAACTCCACTTTCTTCTGCATATTTGTTGGGCGATGGGTTCTTGGTTGGTTCGTTGCCAGCCAGCCAGAGTTCCTTGTTGCTTATTCTTATTATTCTATCAATCCATCTGATCTTCAGTATCGAGTGAGCGTAGGCGTTAGGTGTTGATGAATGTCTGTAGTTTGTTGGGAATGCTTTTCGTCGTGACACGCCAAGTTTGTGAACCATATAGCAGCATTGACTTGACAGGGTTGGTGTTGAAAATCCGGATCTTGTTCTTTCTGCTGGGTAGAGTGCAGTAGATCCCCACACTGGTTTCAGGCTAATGAACGCCTGTCTTGCTTTTCTGATCCTGGTTTCGACATCGTCGTCTGTGCCTGTGCTGCCTGTAGTTGAAACGATGCTGCCCAGGTTGAGAGGTAGGTAGGTGAAAGAGATACTTCCTTTATGTTTCTCCCGTTAATGGTGATTGGTGCTTGTTGTTGATGCTGTTGTTGGTTGGTTATCTTCATCACCTCTGTCTTCTCTCCGTTCACTTGAAGTCTCGTCTTGGCTGCCTCACTTTTTCAGTTAACTTGTTAGTTTTTGCCTGTAGATCTTCGAGTTTGTGCCACATAAGGCATTAGGCATAGATCACGATCAGTGAAATCCAAATCTTCTAGGCTCTTTTCATCGGTCTTCACAAACAGCGTATACCCATCTTCTCGCTCCTCACAGTGCAGTCGACCACGATCAGGAGGAGGATGATGGGTGATAGTAGGCGACAGCGTTGTCTTACTCCTTTCTTCACTTGAAAGGCGTCACTGAGCTTTCCATTGTGAATCACTTGGCATGTGGTGTCGTCATCTAGTTGTTGAATGAGTTTGATAAAGGTTTGTGGCAGTGAGACCGTATTGTTGAAGCAGCTGTCTGTCGAATTACTTGTGGTAGAGGTTGTTGAAGGCCTTTTAAAAATCAATGGGGTTGAGGTAGAGAGTTGACTGTCATTCTGTGCTCTGTTCTGTGATGATGTGTAGGGTTGCGTTGCGTTGCAATTTGATGCGCACATGATTTGTTCTTCCTGAAGCCAGCCAGTCAGCCAGTCTATTCCTGTCGTAATTTTGAATCCAGGGCACCTTTTAATCTCTCCAGGATGATGCGGTATAATATTTTGCTTGGGGTGGACAGCAGCATGATTCCGCGCCAGTTCTTGCAAAGACGTAGTTCGCTCTTCTTTGGGAGTTTGATAAGGCAGCCCTTCTTCCACTCGGTAGGTATCTTTCCTTCCTTCCAAACCTTCTGCAATAGTGGTGTGAGCATGTCTGCTGTTGTCTCTGTGTCTGTTCTCAGTGCTTCTGCAGGAATTCCATCTGGTCCTGCTGCTTTCCCAGATTTCAGCAGTTTTATGGCATTCAGGACTTTGAGTTTTGTTGGAGGGCTTGTGTTCACTGGTAATTCTGTGGTTACTGGTGGTATTTGTTGACGAGTTGCAGGTGATGGTGTTGGTCGATTCAAGAGCTTTTCGAAGTGGTCAGCCCATTGTTTCCTTTGTTTCTCCTCTTTGGTAACTGGGTTTCCTGCACTATTTCTCATTGGTTTCATCAGAGTTGATCTCTTCCCAAATAGTAACCTGGTTATTTGATATAATGTCTCTCCTACAAGTAGCCTGTTCTGCTTCACTTGTCAATGTGTCATAAAAGCGTCTTTTGTCTTTGCGTGCACTCTTTTCCACTTCTTTGTCCCGTGTAGTGTTTTACAGGTTGTGTTCAGTTCCTCTTTTCGTTGTTCATTCCTGCACTGCACTGCACTGGTTCATCTTCTGATTCACCATCTTCCTCTCCCTCCTCTATCAGCTTCCATGTATCCGTCGAGATCCATTCCTTGTCTTGTCTTTGTCTTTTTCCTACTTAATACGGTTATGCAGGTTTGCTTCCACGTCTGTTTCAAAGGGTTGCAGTGTTCTTCCACACAAGTTTCCTCGGGGATGTTGGCTAATGTCTCCCATTTTTACCTGATAGCTGACGTGAAGATGTCCTTTGTAGTTTTGTCTTTCAGTTTCTGTTCTGGGTGTTGAACTTGAACTGTGGTCTATCATCACCAGGTTGTTTGAATGCTTTCAACTTGATTTTGAAGGTAGGTTCCTTGCACTAGATAGTGCTCCGAACCTACATCTGCTCCTCTTCGTGATCTTGCGTTCAATAGACCACGTCTCCGCTTTCTTGGGATGACCTATGAGTCACTGCTTTTTCGAGTGACTGTAAGGACCACCTTTGCAGTGATCGAAACAAGTAATCAGGTGTCTTATTTCGGCTATGTAGTCAGATTTTCACTAAGTACTGAAGTCTGCTTGGTTATTTGAGTTATCCCTAGGGTGGTCTTTAAAGTCATTTCCTTTTAACGAATTTACGAAAAGTGTGCATACGTTTGTTTATTAATTTTTTGGGTGACTTTAAAGGCCACCTTAGCAGCTGCTGAGGTAACGAATCACGATCCTCGATTCTGCGAAATACCTGGGCTTCTGAGGCAGTATATGATGAATAGGGACTTGAAAGTTTGGTTAGATTTTCTAAATAATTTTGAATGAGATATTCGTAGCTGATTGTCCTATATCGACCACATGTTGCAAAATAAATGAGTTGGTTGATTTTCTCTGCTTTTTACTAGACCATAATAGCAGATGCAGCAAAAATAAGGCCTAAACAAGCAATTTATATACCTACTTCCACAGGAGCAGATGAATTGGTAAACAGATATTGAACTGGTCAGTTATGGCAGCTTATTCTTCAAAATGGGATATATTAGACGGTGACTGTTATTCTGTGTTGTTCTGAGGCTTGGTGTATGAAAGTCTTACGAATTGATCTTTAAACGAAATTCACTATCATTAAATCTCATCGAAAAGAAACTGAAACAATGATATATATACATATATGAAATATATAGTTCGCTTATGATGTTTAACCCTACACTGTTATCAGGTGTCTTAGTTGCCTTACTAACTACTTGGTGTTGAATGGTATTCCATCTCCAAGCTATTCAGTTGTCACCGCAATGGCAACATTATTTTATTACTCGAAATCCACATGCTTCTAAAGCATGTACTAATCAAATTCTTATTTGGTGAATTGACTGATTTCAAGGTTGTTATTCATCACGAAATGATATGAGTTGCAGAAGCATTGAAAATCAAGAAGTGAATTTCTGTTTCTTCCTAGGATATGTATATATTCTACATTAATTAATTAATTTTAACGTTATTACTGTATTACACCGTCGTTGATTAGACCGAATTCATCAGTCTCTGTTGGCATATGGGCTCCTGTGCGGATGCCTCGATGTTGCCTGAATTTTAATTATGTATAGTAATGATGGGTAGTGTCTAGCAGTGGGATCCAGGATGCACATTTCGTCCTACCTGGGGCTCGTCAGCTGGATGTACCTGCCTCCTAATGAGTAATGTTGTTCCCACCGGGATTCGGACTCGGGAGCGATCGCTTCAAACGCGAAAGCGTGATCCACTACACCGCCGAGACACGATAGCCACTTGCGCGACGGGTATAATTTTAGTGTTAGTACGAGGATGAAATGCCATCCTGGATTCCACTGCTAGCCGCTACCCATCATTACTATACATAATTAATTAATTGTTAAGGATCGTTGTTTTAATCCATTGAAAGATATTAACCAATGGTCATCGTGTTCAAGTAATGGAAATTATTCGTTCGGAAAGGTTTTGTAACTTGATTAGCATAAATATTATGATTGCTTTACAAATCATCACTAAAGAAGCAAAATCAAGTGTACTATTTGATGAAATCTAGATTGATTGGTCACTCGAGGTAACCAACTTTATGTTGTCTAGTCTTAAGTACTGATCGGATTCTGTCGATCACCTTGCAATGTTGGCCACCAAACTAGGTAGCCCAGCATCATGATTCACTTCGGTAGATGTTAATTGAATGGAGGCAATCAGCAGGAAGCCCTGAACCTAGATTTCGTGCTTGTTGACACTCGTCAGGAAGGCGTATCTGGCCTACCCCCCAGGGACCAACCAGTGTATCTAATTCAGTCCTGCATGGGGTCAGTAGCGACCCATATAGCTCAGCAGTAACGTCACTGAGTACAACACTGGGTGACGCGAGTTCGAATCTCAGACTGGACGCCAGTTCCGTTGAGGTTGCAGATACGCCGTGCCGACGGGTGCCAGCAAGCACAAAACCCAGGTCTAGGGCTTCCTGTGACCACCTTCATCCAACTTACATCTACCGAAGATGAAATCTGGCTTTCAGATTTACAATCAAGTAAGTTAGAAATAAAATCCCTACCTAGATGGAATAATGACTACTTGCGCCAGTGAGCTATGTCTTTTTGCATTGGTTAGAGAACAGTGATCTTATATTTAACATTTCTTGTCTATTATCTTCACGTTGGATGATAACAGTGTATCCGGCTAATTTGACTTTGACAATCCATTATGTAGTAATAATAGTTTTGACCATATTTTTGTTGCCCACTAAACATCGTACTCCATTTTTTAAAAACTCTATTTTTCATTTGATTTTTTACGCAGGATTTTCAAAGGTGGTGCTTATGGAGTTAAGGTTTCTTGTAGACGCTATTCTAAAGCAAAAGAAAGATAATGATGTTCTTTGTGTAAGGCTTCTTGTATGTCTTCATCAAATTGAGGTTAGTGGTGTTTATATATGATTTATTTTATAGCTTTCACTCATAACTAGCTAATTCACAACTACATCGTCTCCATATCGCCTTTTCGGCAACCGTGTCTTTTAACAGTACTGAAAATAAATTTAAAAATTCGCTAGTCAGCTAAAATATCCTATGATTGATAACATAAGAAACGTAGTGGAAGATGTATTGCAATTTTTCCAGTCGACGAAAGATTGCCCTTTCTTTTGAAGAATGTGTTTGGATAGAGATAACGCGTTGGTTCGAGAAACTTTATGAAAACCTTTTATAGTTCAAAATAGGTGTGATGGTTGTTTGATGTTGTCTGAGCTTTGATATTTCGTCACTAGACTTGATATCATCAGCGATGACTTCTTGATGAAGTTAGTTGAACAGACTGTAGCAACAAGACCACTGCGAGCGCTGCTTGATGTTGAGAATATTAAGGCTCTTTTCAACAAAAACCAGCTAGACAGTTGTCACAATAAAACAACGTCACTAATCGTGGAGAAGCTTGTTGCCATTTCCAGTGTACCTTTAAAGCAACGTTAAGTACCGTAAACGACTGTCAGCAGGTTACTAGAAAGAACTAGTGTATCTCAGCTTGTTCTGAATTAACGGATGATCGTGAACTCATTCCTGCAGTCTCCGAGCACAATGAGGAGGGGAAACAACTCAAAGTCAACGCAGTGAGTGCGAGCGTTACTGGGCAGTGAGAAGTAAAGCGATAAAGAAGGCTCCAGTAATAGGTAACAGTAAATAGTTATTTGGACTTTTAAGAAACTGGGGCGAATAGGTCAGTGGTTAGTGGGGCTGATGAAGAAGCATGGGTCTACAGTCCATCCACAGGACAGAATGATGGACGAAACACTTGGAAGAACAATTCAGCTGGTCTACAGCTACTATTCCATATTAGATTTGTTTATTTGATTTATCATCAAGTAGATGATAATACACTTGATGACGTTTCGAACATAAATTATTGCTCATAATCATATCACTGTCACGTCCTACATTTATATTGATACAGCTACCATGATGTTGCTCTCTATCCAGTTAAATCTGAAGTGGAACACAGATAGGCTTTCCAACACTTGCAGAAGTTCAGGAAGCTGTAGATATTCTGAAATTAGGGTTTGGTGGTAAAGTCTATCTTTTCTGCACACTTGTTTTCAGCATGCTTCTGTGTAGTATTGCAACTCAAGGCGTTTCACTTTGGCAGGTTCTTCGTTAATTCTTTTGTCTATCTGCCTCTATGTTCTCATTGCCGTTTTTGGAAGCTTTTGATTCGTACTGGATAATGTCATGTACGCGCTTGCAAACAGTTTTTAACATAGTCAGTAGAATTTGAGTAAAGAGGGCGTGTGTAATTTTAGAAGACCACCTTTTCTAGCCCATACTCCTGACAGATCAATGACATTATTAGCGTGCATTGCTGCTCGTTCCCATTACCACACTACTTAATCCCAGAAATATGATCTTCTCTTTGATTCTCTTCATAGCGATAGTTATTTGCACCATAGAGGTAGGTGCTTTTTGTTTCATCACTATTCAGCAGCCTTTTCTTCCATGATAGAGTGGTAAGAAAATGTTTTAGCCAGCAGTCTCTTTTTGATCATGGTGATATGCAATTGAGCCATCACGTCAGACAAACCGTTTTGTTTCTGTATACGGAAATGCTACGAATATTAATACGGGTTTGGTAGATAATAGGTAATAGGAATTGTTGTCTGTCTAATATATCATCATTAAATAGTGTATGCAAAGGTGGAGTGTCATCCTTTCGTGGTGATGGCAGATATGTAAAATCTCTTTTAAGGTGGGTGTATATTATGCTAGTAATTAACTCCTCAATATGCACTGTTAGTAGAAAAAAACCCAGTTCATTTAATTGTTTGGAATCCTGGTTTACACAGTGCTTATGGTTTCGGGAAAGGTTCTAAAGTTACCTAGCCCCTTCACCTAAATGTCAGTCTTCAAGTCTCTAAATAGCTACTTCACCATTGAACTGTATTAACGGACACTTCTGTAAGTTCATTTTAAAGCATACCTTTGCAGTAACTGAATTTGTTTCTAACATTAATATTTAAGACATACTCATGTCGTTATATGATTTTTTTTTTCGCCTCACTAACTTTTTATTAGCGCATCTTCGTTTAAAAAATTGAATCTTTATATGCTGATCCTTTGGACCAACATTTCTGTTACCCATTTCTGTTCTTTTAAGTACTGCCAATGTTAAATTCGTATTTGATGTTTAATCTTCCCTTTAAATGGCTATCATGTTTGGGTGATACTCTGATCACTAAACGTTTAAAGCAACGTATCCGTAAAGCATATACAGTGAAAATCAACAACCTTGAAAAACAGCTTATGTATTCCAATAAACCCGTACAGCGTATAAACAAAGCGAACACAAAAATGTTTGCAGGAACAAGCAAGATCAAATGATCGTTACTAAAGGAATAATCGTTAGATGCAGTTACAGCGAAATACTTCTTTGGATCATTGTGTTGCTTTCCACGTATCTCTCAAACTTGTCTACGAATCTCTTAGGTACACTGTCGATTCCTTTATTGCTCTGGTAACAAAGCAATTTTATATTATATTTTTCATCTTTAATTATCCAACCGTGTAATATTAAGGAATATTTATGTATCTATCTCGTTCGGTGACTTGATTTCAAGATTAACAGATTGTCCACCCTTTACATCTAGTAAACCTTTTATTCTCTGTTAACTTCCATAAAAATACATGTGACAAGTAACCTATATGATCAGATTGTTCGGAATGTATCGCGCAAATGCACCAAAAGTTTCAGATCAGTTATTTCTTCATGGTTATACTGATCAACAAGCTTGGTTTCAGTATTTATTGCAGAATCATGCCGAGTAATTTTATTGTGCTTTTAATATTTATCCATCGGAACCCAAAAATTGTGACTGAGCTCAAGATAAATCTCTATCTAGAACTCTGTGAGTAGTGTGAAGTTTTTATGCCTAAGATAACAGTTTGAATGTTTGTAACTACTTTTACGATGAAGCTTTAGTGAAAATGTTAACAATAAATAAACTCCAGTGTAAAAAATTATCTTCAAAGGATCATGCATGAGCCGGTTAAATAATGTAAGGTGGTTGAATGTGTCAAATAAGTAGTAGTCTGAACAGTTGATGGTATAAGTGTATAAATCTGCAGTTACAAAAAGTGCTTTATGTATATATCATTGCATTTATGGTGTGCCAATTAAGTATTAAATATAGGCCGAATACGTACGTTTGTGTTTTTGTGTTCACACTATATGTCCTGTTATTCATTGTCATTTGATTTTACTGTTTCTGTTTCTTAAATTACTTTGTAATTAGGAGTTATGGAGGAATTTAGAGCTTGTTGAGTCCATTTTGCAAATCACTATGCCTGATTCCGAAGGTCAAATGAAATTACTTCTGGTTTTGAAAAGAAAGGTAAGTCATGTTATTTCCTATAAGTAGTGATGTAATTGGTATACACTTACTTTTCAAGGTGTGTAAATTCGCTTTTGTAATTGCATAGTTTCGTGTTTTAAACGAAAGTTTTCTTAGATATGTACTGGATATCTTAGTTTATGATCATTTAAGTCGTTGGTCCACCATAAATTCCTGCAGTTTTGCACTCTGTTATATTATCTTAAAAGTTTAGACAACCTTTGTTAACCACCCATCTGCAATCTACTTACTCTTTCAAACTCGTTTATTTCCTCTGTATTTCCTTCAAATATAATTGATAGGTAGCGGAACATTTCAGGATATCAGCTGTGACTTTGTTTAGCTTGGCAAATCTTACTGAACAATGCACTTCGCTATTCTCAGTGCAACTGAAACTTGATCAACAATTTCCACCCTGAACTCTGGATAACTGCGTTTAATATCCGTTTCTGGGATAATCAAGTCCTTCTAAGACAGCCAGATGACTTATTTTTTCTTTCAAACCACTTTGAAATTAATGTACATTCAGTAGGTGCTCCAGTTATGTATTTCATTCATTCATTACTTCTTCACGAGCCTTCTGTTATTTTCTACCATACTTATGTATCCATTGGTTTACTGCTCTTGCTCTTGGCCCGCTACTATTTTACGGTATAGTGACCACAAAAAATTCTCTTCTAATTTTAAGAATTATGGCGTGGTGGTTTTCGTTGCTATTTCCTGACGATCATTAGTATTGCCCCGACTGTTTGAAGTATTCACTCCTTTTGTTCCTTGGCATAGTCCGTTTTTGGTAGATTATGTATTCAGCGACCATAGCGTGCTGAAGAGTTTCGAGACCTGTTTAGCCATCAGTTTCTCAGCGGTCCACTAAACATTTATTGCATCACAGTACCCTTCACATTAGCTATCAAAACGTCGAAAGGGCTAAGTCAAGCGGGAGAGCACTTAATTGATACTTTCGGAATCCTAGCCGAACGAATAAATAACACCCACTACAACTGTGCTTAGATAGCAGTTTGTTTCTAGTCCTCACTAACTTTAGACATAGTGACTGTCTGACGTGGCGACCACCGATTTCAACTGAGCGGTGGATACAGATAAACTACATTACTATCAGTCATTCCTGGAGAGGGTCGGTGGAGGACTGCCGCTCCTTGTGGAGCACGTGTTTGGATAGCGACGCTGCGTTGGTATTTTATAATTACTTATGGGTAGTTATACTACTTGCTTTTGATAAGTAATAAGATGAATCGCATAAAATTTCATTGTGTTGTTGGTTTATTTTGTGTCAACTACTCCGATTTTCTGGTTTACGTTAGCTGACTGTTGACAATTCTGAAGATATCTCCAGTGATCATGAAAACATTGGAACTAAAGTGAGTTATGAATATTATATCTTTGGGAATCCTTGCAAGTTATCTTTACTTGAAAGTTATGATTTTTTTTCCTACATTACTCATACTTCATCTAGTATATATTCTACAAGGGTCGCTAAGGTTATCTATAATGTATAATCTCTGTCAATTAAAAACCTTGGTTCGTTTAGTTTGTTGTTTGACAATGCAAACTGAGCTCTAAAATATGTTCATCTTGAACATCTGGGTGTAAGTCTTATTTATTTCATAGGTCAGTGATAAAAACATTTTCTCAGTTTGACGATCTCTTCATATGTTGTCCTTGAGTTCATAAGTTTATTTTTTAATGGTCAAAGGATAATTGAGCCTTTTGTATCAGTGTTGAGATTTAAATTTTACTGAAACGATTTTTCCCTGAGTTTGTCTACTCATGTCGTGTATGCACCTCGCTTAGTCACGTACTGGTAGATGCTTTCTAATTGTTCTGCATATCAACTAGCTAGGAGGGGATATGGAGAATATCATTTTGAGTGTATTATCTCTCTGAGTTCTTAAGTTGACATTACTTTATCCACAGGAGAGCACTGACGACATAAATATAGTTGAGTTAATGTACTAATATATTTCTTCAGTAACAGTCGTGCTGTGGAGAGCATTTGCATGGAACGTGTAGTTGCCAAATATATCTGATGATACTGCGTCGAACAGAAGTCGTATTCGAGTATAACGGTAGTCTTCCTTAAAGAATACTTATTCAGCATATTTTCGTGTTGCATGTTACACGATCGTATTATGGTGTAATCTTTCCTAACTAGATGCCAAGTTTGTTTGTAAACACTTATTACATTTTCAAATTATACATTCGATGCATGTCAACTTTGTTTTTAATGATTCCAATCTGGATTCTAATCACGTCTATGAGATTCCTTCCAATTATGGTTTTTTTTATCCTGCCACCATTTTGATAACCACAAAGCCTTGTCGTACTTGTGTAGCTGCGGTTTAGGCCGATGACTTTCAACTATTGCGTCACGGGTTCAACCCAGCTCCACCTACCGAGGTTTGGGCAGCCAGGTGGTATCACTAGCCCTCACACAATAGATGCAACTGTTTGCCTACTCCACGGATGTGCACAAGGTTGCTGAGTGCATTTTCATTCCTATTTGTCATTCTTCGAAACAGTTTCGTTGACTGTGAGTCACTATTGTTGGGTGTAGTAAATCATTTTGTCTTTTTCTTTTAGCAGTTAATTGTAGTTTTATGTCCTGATCTAACCACTACCACTTTAATTTTTTATAGATTCTTGTAATGCTCAAACGTTTGAAGGCATTTTTATTAGTTCATGGATCCAACAGTTACACGTAAGCCTTTATTGTGTCTATTTGCGGAACAGATTTACTGAGTTTTCCTCATCATACTGTAAAACTTTCACTCATTTGATAATGAATGTTTTATTTCACTGTCGGTTGGTTAGCGATGCCGTTTGGTAACCTATGTTACAAATGAACTGGGTCATTCATTTTTCCACTAAATATCTGGTGCTGATCCATCACTTTTGTTTCATAACAATATGTCTACCACTGACACAATCACAGCAAAGATTTGACTTTTACCTCGAGAAATATTTCATGCTTCAAATGCATCAGTCAAAGGTATTTATACACATTACTTTTATACATTTTTGGAACTTTTTTAGACCTCTGTGACTATCAACCTCATAAGGGGTATTGGTACCATAATTCAGGACAATACCAACAGCTCTCCGTGTATAAATATAAATATATACAGTTACAAGACCTTAAGAAACCTTACACCTCAATAAATTGAAGTATTTTACTGTTAAACGTCGGTAGTTTGTTAATACGTTTAGAAATGAGTTTTACTCTGAAGGTGGAAAGAATAGTAATTGTCATATGATAAGAAGCAATTTATCGATATGCAAAATAAAATAAGGATACAGTTTTTTCAGTTTGATGCAATTTGCTTTATCAATGATTATTGTCCCTTTAGCTAAACTTCGATGTGTAATAAGTTATCTGGTACCATCTGAATTATCGAATCACAACTGCTTGTATGGCCGATGAAGCGCTTAAGTTTCCATGTTTTATAGCAACAAATAAAAAGAATTGGATCGAAGAAGGACTTTACCAAAGTGGAGCAAGGTGTATGAAGAAGATGGGACAAATAAATGAGTGTCAGTGCGAATATCTAAAATTTCCAACCTAATAAAGTATAAACATATCTGCGCAACTGTGATCGATTTTGAGCAATCTCATCATTTTCAACTATTGGTTTCCCTCATCTCAATGACTTCAAACATGCAGGTTGCACCTCCCTACATAACTCTTATGGACGATGAGAAACTTCATATATTTGTATCATTTTTTGATGTGGCTACACTTAGCCCTCTTTCAGCCTAACTTTGCTTCGGTTATTTCTTTGCATTAGGCCGCATGGATTCAGATGGAATTTATGGTTTCATAGTTTTTTTTCATCATTACACCAATTTGTGCTTGAGAGCGCACTCAAAGGGTGTCTGATGTACATTTATAGATATTTTCACTTAAGTCACTTTCAGCTAACACCACCGGGCCTTCATATCTAACTTACATAAAACAGCCATTTAATTACTGATTGTTGTTTTTATTGTTCAGCTTTCTGCAATAACTGTTGGAATTTTACATTCATTGATTTTATCAAATATGGTAGTGGCCTTATCATGTGATTACACAATTTAGCACTTAAATTGACAATGATTGCTCTGATTTATCTGAAACTTGTGCCCTACTTAACGTACTGTGTTTGTGTACTACTAAGTTGTTTATTGATATTTTATTTACCAGGGCATGTATAATATTACAACAAGTTATTTAGTTTATAGTAGCACAACCTGAACGAACACTGCAGCAACATAACACTGATGGATTCACAATTCTCACTTAAGCTTCTGATAACAACCACCTTTATTTAGTGCTGGGAATCGAAAGGTTTTGTGAAAACAGAGCACTTACGCCTAATTCTGGGTGTTACAGTTTCTGATTACTTACCATTCTCTTTGTAACAATTCATTCTTATTTGTTCCAGTCCAGAAGTATGGATTGAATTTCGCGATGCCAATATTTATTTTATATTCGCTGGTCTCTTCGTTTCTAATTTGGTGTCTCCTGAAGAAGCATCATGGGATCCCAGTCGAGCATTTCTATTTTGGACGCTGTACAAGGCTAGTGATTTCTTGTCGAATTAAAATAACTGATGATTTGTCGTTTACTGGAATACACCCTAGCAAATTATTGGATATCTAACTCTACTTAGTAATGTCTTTTAGGATACAACTTGTTCATAATCATCATCCTGATTCTCTTAAGTTTAGTATCTTTTTGACATTAATTTTACTACGTCCCAATGCAGTTGCATCTACTACGACACTAGTTGTTTATGGCTCTTGCGCTAACCGCTGTGTCTTCCTGACATGTTAGGAGACTAGAAGTAAAGGATCTGAGTTATTTATGCAAGCAAAAATAATTACCACGTTGAATAGCTTATTTTGTACGATTGCTATCCTAGTATGCTCTCACGAAATTTGTCCTTTTCATAAGCAGTTTCTAGTTCTGCAAACCTTTTTTTTGATTACTCAACTTTATCCTTTCTTGTTGAAAACAATTTAATTTCGTTCGTCAGAAAATCTCAAGTTTTCATGGCTGATATTAGAAGGTAGTAGGAAATCTTAATGTGAGTGGGAAACGCCTCATGTATTATGTCTAATATCGTTAAACTACTCAGTTGAATTCTTCCAATGTTTTGCGACTATTATGCTATTAAACTAATTTTGTCAATAAAATAATCCCTTTCTATTTCTTTGTTGTTAGGGCGAGTTGTCTGAATATTTAACATCGAAAACTTTAGAGAAATTGTGTGATTTGCTGTCTAAAAGGCCTTTGACATACAACCTTTCAAAGCATTCACCATCTGAACTCACTGACGATAAAGACACAAGTAGACAGTATAGTTCAAAAGAACGTGAACTTGTCGAGTCTGAGGAGGCTATCCATAATTGGATACGTAACGAGTTACTTCCTGTTGTTATCAGATATTCTCCATGCTCTTTGGTATGTTCATTATAAATTGAATCATTGTCTCATGGATTATGACTACATTTATTTCGATAAAGAATTTTATATTTATAACTTTGAATCTAACTGCATTCATCTGTCTCCGCAATATGTAGCAAGCAAACAATTTAAATTATTTACTGGTTGACTTCAGTTCTTCATTGCTCTACGTTCTTATAAGTGGCCGTGGAATTGAATCCTATTCTGTCGAAAACAACTAAGCAGCTGTCATGTTTATTGTAAACGCGTAACTCAAAGTCGAGTGTATCCACATGTATGGATTTGTCACGGGAGTGCAACCAATTTCATGTTGTCTAGTCCTGAGTGCAGACCGAATCCTATCGATCATATTTGCAATGTGGCAACCAAGCTAAGAAGCTCAGCATCGCGGTGCACATTAGTAGATGTTAGTTGTTTGCAAATATGATCGATAGGATTCGGTCTGCACTCAGGACTAGACAACATGAAATTGGTTTCACTCCCGTGACCGATCAATACATCTAAGCCAGTCCTATAGGAGGTCTGTCGTGCATCGAATAGCTTGGTGGTAAAGTCGCTGACTGCAACACTGGGTGACACGGGTTCGAATCTCAGGCGGGATACCAGTTTCGTTAAGGTTGCAGGTACGCCTTGCTGATGAGTGCCAAACAGCATGAAACCTGGGTCTAGAGCATCCTGCTGATTACCTCCAACCAACTAACATGTATCCACATATACTAACTGGATGAGACACACTGATAGAGTGTAAAAACTATCATTGTTTGCAAAGTAGATGAAGCTCTAGTTTTTGGCTTCTTTCGCTACAGTTTTCAGATTCTGGGGTTCTGAAAGAAGTAGTCTTATATGTTGAATATATCTCTGCCATTTATCATGGGCTGTTTTTCGTGGGCACAGGGATCGTCTAATTTTTACGTACAGCTGTTACCAGAATATCTTATTTTTAGAATGCTGTACATCTACTATGAATTCACAAAATTCAAGAGGGTTTTCATCATATACTTATACCAGTGACAGAACCATTGCATTGAACATCTCTTTTGGCCTAGTTTAAGACTTCTTCCATATACCCGTTGATTAAATGACAATAGGGTGTTCACTAGTGATCTAGTTTTTGTAAGGCTTGAATAGTTTTTACTAACCTTCATTTTCAATCTTCTTTTTCTTTTATAAGCCTTTCTCTACTTTGATATTACTTTTTCTACCAACTTCGCCTTTGCATGCTACTGTGATACATGGCAACTGGAATCGATGCACTTGTGTCCGAGGTTCTGAGTTGATTTCCCCCGTCTGTTTTGAGATGAACTTCCAGAAGTCGTATTGTAAAGCTGTGGCCAATAGGAAGAGATACTCGCCGTTGGTCGTGCTGCATCATCAATAGGGTTGTTCAAAGTAAACCACTAGACCCAGTGGTTAAGTGTTAACATGGTCGCCAGGAAACCTTGCGATCTTTGATTCGATTTCACGGGATTATGGATGCCTTCTACAGTAAAGTCCCAAATATGAAAGGGATAGATATTCAATCCTCTCATGTTTTCAATAGTTCCACATTTGATTTCAGTACGTGATGAATACTACCTTTGTTTTGTCATTTATATCATGGGTTTTTGTCAATCTTCTAAACAGTTGCATCAGTTTATAGTTCTCTCGTCTTTCGGATTTTTAAGTTAATCAATACAGACACTAAGTTCTAAGGATCAAAAAAGATTTATCCTCCCGTGATTCATTTATCATTTTCACATTATTTGTTGATTTGGAAATTTCATTTCCATCTTAAATACACCTTAACGCTTCTATTTTTCTTTGTAATTAGCAACTTTTGACTAAATTTCTGACTGGACGCGTAAAACAGTTGGAAACCTGCTCATCCCCATCAAATTCTACCAGTTATGAACGAAAAAAAAATGTTAGATGCCCTTTTTCATGGCCCTCTTCAGCAATCTCGTGGGTGAACCAGTTTTGGAATCTGTCAATATATCGGAATCGAATTGTGAAAAATGCAGTTCCAACATTTATACGGTAACTGATTTCTACTTGTCTGGTTTAGCTAGTCGTAATCCCGATGTAGACCCATTTTATGAATTGAGGAAATTAGCAAAACAATTGGAGACTATCAAAGTTTTGGGAGATATGTAAGTTTTCCCCTCTTTTATTTATGGTAAGATGACTCGAAAACAATTGAATTTTGTCTAGTTAACTGGGAAACCGAACTCATCAAATAAATCATAATTTGTTATTATTTATTCGATCTCGCGGAATGGTGTATTTCTCTTATTTCCAATAAAGTGCATGTCAAAAGAGCAAACAAGTGACTAAAAGCCATTCTAGCGATAACTGAAATAACCAATTAGGTTTCTTTATCCCATAAGAATAAAACTCCCAGCAGAAATAGCAAAAACTCATTGATTGTTTCAGCAGTTACCAGGTTGGGTTTTTGAGTCATTTGGATCAAGTACGGGTGGTCAAGTGACAGGAAGTACAGATACAGTAATAATCTAGATTGTTTTGTGTAATACACAACTACCTACGTACAAAAAGATTTAATAGAGTAGTAGTTAAAATATTTAGTCAATAATATGAGGGTTAGTAGGTACTCAGTGCATTCTTAGCAGTGGAAGTAACGTTTAAGTTTTATTCGTCATAAGGCGTTTTTGTGAATTTTGATCTTCTTTCGACTGTTTTAAATCTAACTATTTCCATTTATACTCATTCATTGTCTGACACTTAGTGATACTACGTTGCTGCCTAAACATCAATATATAAGTTTTGAACACACAAATCACTGTAAGAAAGTAAACAGCTCAAACTACTGAGCTACAAATACACAGGAAATTAATTCTCGTGATATAGCCGTTAGTCATACGCGTAACTATACATTTGTTTTCAGGAGAATCCAACACATGCTGGTGTTTTTCAAAGTAGATCCTCATATATTCTCATCCTGCGTCGCATTCCCATAAGTTCAGCTCATCCCAATGGAGATATGGTTCATTGCATTCAGCACTTGGGTTTCAAGCAGTGGGTCCCTGGTAAAAGTCTCGATTTATTTACTTTAAGCTGGGTAGTCGTGTACTGTTGTGGTGTTTTATACAACTACCTTTAAGTTGTATGTAGCATGATATTTCTGAGTAAGACAAGGTGAGTTATCATCTATTCGGGGAATGGTCTGAAGAAGAAATCGAGAAACACGTGAATTAAATATCAAAGAAGCAACCGAGACTGAAGATCAGCTCACCTCGAACACTGACAATTTGCATGAAATTTGTTTAATGCAGGGTTTTGATATTTTATATTGATAATGCAATTTCCTGATAATCAATCTAATCAACCTTGGCCTATTTTTTTCTGAATAAGATGAAGATGCCTTGTCTTCATGTGTTCGGACGTGGATGTGTAAGGAGACCTAGGAAAGAACTTCAAGGTCGTCGACTGGTGCTAGAGCTTTAGACCGTGTGTGTTGCCATTGCAAACAGTTTGGGGGGGGGGGGGGGTGGGCGTGCTTTGAAAAATGTTTTCGTGTCAAACTGGGTCTTCAAGACAAACGATCTTATTCTCATTCATTGTGATCATAGGCCCACAGTGACTAATACTGGCAGTGAATTCCTCAAAAAGTAAGGGGGATGGTGGAAGTAAAAGGGTAACTACGAATTATGACGCGTTCTGCACACACACACACACACACACACACACACAGAAAAGTATTGAAGTTAATATTAACTGCGTTTGCGTAGTAAAGATTAATTGTCTGCTTAAAATGAAGGCTTTGTAGAAAGGTGAAACACGACTACATTTACAATATGCTAATCGCCTGTGCATTTAGAAGCCGAAGTAGATCGATAGGTTCGAGCGGTGTTGAAAAAGGGAATGACTTAAAAAATGGACAATATGTTTAATATAACTTTTTCTCTCAGTAAACACTTCCAATGTGAAGTATAGATTATGTGCCGATTTTATAGATCTAAATGATCTAAAATATTTGAAAGCAAGTTCAATGCCAAAAGTGGTAAAAAAACTTAGATTACAAACGGAGCGCGAAATTGTTCAGTTTCTGACTGACAGCTGAGCTTTTAGCAAATACCATCACAGGAGAGTAATCAAACTAAAACAACTTTTTGCTGTGGGCTGAAAGCAGTTGCAGTAAAAATGAAATGATATTCAGACTCCCAGGTTCATCCTATATGTTTATTATTTATGTGATCGTCTGCCTACAAATCCTCAGACATTTTTGTATCACTTTATGAGGATACTAACTGAATACTAAGTTTTTTAGTAACATTAATAATAACAAAAGTTGTAACACATTAAGAAGGTACCTCGGAAAGTTAACGCAGAATTCTCAACAGAGCTTGCATTTGTACCCATAAACTCAATAAAAAAACAAGTTTCGTAAGTTTAGCGATCATATAGAGCCCATTAGAATAAATGTTTTTTTTGATCGAATTCTATGCAATGATCATTAGACCAAGTACATGCGTCTAGTTATTTGACGAGTCAGTTAGACTAGCAAAACACAAAACCTGACCCAATCTATAATGGTAGGTCCTATTAAGATAAGAACTATTCTTTATAAACTAATGTGGTACTGTTTTTTCAATGAGTTGATAAACACTAAATGTTATGTATTATTATATTCATTGAATAATTTACTTTTATTCCTGTTGATATGACTGGCCTATTGGTATTCGTTTTTTGGTTAAGTTTCATTCACAAATGATTCTCAGACTACAAAAATCAGATTTCATTCTCATCAGTTTTGTGTAATAATGATTTCTTAGCTAAAAGCGCTTAGCAAACTGTATTGTTTTTGTACTTATCGGATTCCATATTATTCTGAAAATATTTCCTACTCTGATTAATCCTTTGTCCAGATATAATTGTCACTTGTCGATTGACTGTTGTGAAGGTGAAACGAAACTGTCTGTTGGTTACCGTATCCTTGATATTTCATTTAGTCGAGGTTGTACCGGTGAAGATGGTATTGATAAGCTGATGAAACAATATTTAAAGGTGAGAGAAAAAAAATCTTTAGTATACATGCATTTATTGGTGATGAATTTCCTTTTATTACCTTTGGTGTAATATTTCCAATATGCCATGACTATTAGTTCTATGATGCATGCACCACTTTATGCGTATCCAACTCTATTTTATTTAAATTACTAATTTTGTTTAATAGGGATTATTGTGACCGATGTACATACTTATTTCACTCAAATTGTCATTTAAATAATTGATTACTTCATTAATATCTATGGCAGGGCTGCGTATCACCTCGCTTTGTTGTAAGTGCATAGTGTTGTCTTACTACATTTAAATCACTCTCTAGTTATACCTCTGACTTGTTAAGTTTTCCATCATACATATGACACCAAGTTTGCTCTGATTTATATATATATATATATATTATATCCTCAATTTGTATTCAATACTTACTCGAATTTTCTAAAGGTTACCAACCTATCGCTATAAATTTGAATGAAGTAAAAAGAAAAACATGGTAAATGAGTGCTGCAAAGTGTATATAACTACAGCAAGTGACTACTCAAAATACCCATATCGAACTGCTGGTCTATGCTGGATTCAAGGAACTGTTTATACTCCTTTGTTCTGACATTTGTCCTATTGGTGATTATGTTTTAGTTTCTGTGAATGGTTTCAAATTTTTCTGCAGTGAAGTGTAGTGATGTGGCTACCTTTATCAACCCCAAGTTATACTTATCAAATTGCATTTGTTTCATTTTTGAAGCACTAGTCCATATGAATATGAATCGAAATGAGCATAAAGTAAGGTACTAAAAATATTCTTGGTAAAGGTCTAAGGCTGAAAAGTCATGGATTATCAGGACGATAATAAATTAGTAAATCTCTTCATGAACACAATTGAGGTTGAACTTGTTAGATAATGTTGGCTGCAACCACATCTTTGCTCCCCCAACTTACTTGCTGTCAAATATTCATTTGAATTGATAAATGCAGTCGGGGATAAAAGTACAAGTTTCCAACTCTAATGAAGTCAGAAACATGTTGCAAATTACATTCAAAATATATTTGCAAATGATGTTTGGGATGATATTATCAGTGGTATTAAATGTTATCTAACATTGTCCCTTAATATTCTTTACATGTCTTCTGGCAAGATGCAGATATTTATGGCCACACGAAAAAATTAGACCATACCTTATTTGGCTTGTTTATTGCATGAATAAACTTCTTTCTTAGGCCCTATTGATTTAAGTTCATTAATACTACATGACGTAGCCAGTGCCGGATAAAGAAGTATTAGGAATAGAGTGTCATAATATGACTGAATATTTGTCTCTTAAGTTAATTCATGATGTACAGACACCTAATCAGTATCTACGTCTACTCAGACAGTCCTTATTTTATTCAAAATGTAGGTAGAAGATTAATTCCTAAGGCAGAATGTACGCCGTTAGACTGGGTGGTACATTAAGGACAAAGAGGAGTGGTAAAATACCATTGCCTTTTCTCATCATTTCTTATGCACTAACTGACTGAAGTTTGAACATAATAAAGAAGAATGAATTCTGTGTAAGACATTCAAGCTTCCTACCTTAAGTCACATTTTCGGTTGTTGAATATGGAAGTAAAATTTGAACACTGTCGTGAGTATAATTCCACCACAAGTGTTTCGTTATGTGTATCTCTCGGTAAAAGTATTTTTCTCTGGATGACATTTCGAACACGATAGTCAATTTTCTGGTTTTCGAAGTCCATAAACTTATATCGGAATAAAAAATTAATAAAACTCAAATGTGGTTGTCGTAACGATCGCCTTCAATGCATATATGGGAAAGTTTAAGCCAAATGGAAAAACTCTTAGGTGGTACTTTCGGAATCACAACCGAACTGACGGACAATAGCTACCACAACTTTACTCAGATAACCACCTACTTCTGGTTATCACTAATTTAAAACAAAAAAAATATTGTTTGATATGACATCCGGTGACGTTAACTCAACTTTGAAAGCAGGCAGGCCATATGGCTACCGGTTATCGCTGGAGAGAGCTGGCGGAATATTACTGCTTGTCCTGTAAAACAACCTTTCGAAATGACCATGCTTTGGTTCAAGTACCCGTTCGCCTGCGTCTGAGGAAACAGTAAAACTGCAACTGAAAGATGAGAATGCTAAGGCTGCCTTTAAAGAACAACTGACTGAACAGTAATTAGGGAATGTTAAAGTTACTAGTTTTAAAGGCTCATTAAGCTATCTCCATTCTATTTAAATAAAAATGAAACAGCCATGAGTAACCCAGTGAAAAATATACCAATGAATCTCATTAGTTTCTTCCGAGTTATTACATACATGTGAAGAAATTCCTGTTGATTCTGAACACAGTAAGGGACAGAAGCAACTTTAATGTCAGCTTATAAAGAGTCTTTGCAATGACTGTAGAATGGTGGATAGGGAAGGGTATGAAGATGAATAACTCAGTGGAGGTAGTCAGCGATGATGTAAATTCCGTATATATGATAAAGAAAACCGGGTGAGTGATCGACACGCAATGAAAATGATGAGAATGATGTACATCTGGCTCCTGATAACACTTTGTTAGCCCGCTATTCCTCAATTTTTATGCGACAATGATAAAGGTCCTCAGTTTTCCAAGAAGTTGAATATCCTGAAATGATAAAGATAAGGGAACTTCATAGATTGACAGCTGAACATGAACATTTCTGAAGGCTTTTATAACTACCAGCTTATTAACTTTCTCGTATATATAAGAGCTGCGGGATTAATGCTTAATTAATGTGTCGTAACAAATCATCTTCCAATCTCACGAAAAAATGGTGGCTAATATAAAACCAAGAAGAAAGTTCGTTTCAACTTAATCTACTGTGTCGATAAATTTCTTTGCTGAGTCTAAACTGAACATTCATCAAGCACTAACAGTAGCTCATTTGTTGTTTTTTTATTAGATTCCTGTTTTTATTTCTTGTTGCACTACTTATACTTGGCAGTTTCTGTAAGGAAAATATCCGTAAATTACATGACACCTAACACACAAGTAGTTCCGTCTTTTGGACTCAAGATCTTAACCCCCTCTACTAAGTAAATATTCGTTTCACGTTGAGTTATTTTTTTTTATGGCATAAAGATCCCAGTCATTTTGTTATCTTATAACATAGTAAATCCTACATTTTCTACCTTATTATTTTGTAGTTTTTTGCTTTGTTTTCTGTATTTTATCCTGCTACCTGCTTTTTAGTACTCCTTGCATGCAATTGGTATTCTCTGATATCATAAATCGTTGCATTTTATGTGATTCATTTCATTCTGCTTTTATTGATGATATCGGTTTCTTTGATGTACTATGCATAATACAAATATTAATTTCTGGAGAAATAGTAACACTTCGGTGAAACAAGGTTGCCTACTATCCCCCATGATATTCTTGATTGTGGTCGACTGGATCATGCAGCAAACAGTGGGAGCGAAAAGAGGGGGATAAGCTGGACCGCGGAAAAAAACGTAGAAGACTTGGCTTTCGCCGACGACTTGTGTCTCATGTCACACAAACTTGAAGATCTACAGGCGAAAACTAACAAGTTGTCAGAAGAGGCAACGAAGACGGGACTTCAAGTGAATATCGAGAAGACAAAGGTGATGAAGATGCCCAACCAACAACAAACTCCAATCACCATCAACGGGAGAAACTTAAAGGAAGTTGCTTCCTTCACCTATCTGGGCAGTACTGTTCCAACTACAGGCGGCGCAGACGAGGATATCAAAGTCAGAATCAGAAAAGCAAGACAGACGTTCATTAGCCTGAAACCAGTGTGGGGATCTTCTGCACTCAGCATGTGGAACGAGATCCGAATTTTCAACACCATCGTCATATCAGTGCTTCTGTATGGCTCAGAAACTTGGCGCGTTACGAAAGGGATTTCCAATAAACTACAGACATTCATCAACAACTGCTTACGCTCGCTACTGAATATCAGATGGCCAGAAAGAATAAGCAACAAGGAACTCTGGCCTGGCAACGAACCAACCAAGAAGCTATCGCTCAATAAATATGCAGAAGGAAGTGGAAATGGATTGGGCATACACTGAGAAGGCCGACTGGGGACATCATGCGCCAGGCCAGTTGCTCGAGTGGAACCCCAATGGGAAGCGACGAGTTGGGCGTCCCAGGTGAAGGTTACATGGAGGAGATCGTGTGAAGAAGAAATGAAAGCTTGTGGGCAGTCGTGGAGTGAGGTTCGAAAGATTTCAGAGAACAGAACGCATTGGAGACGTGCTACTGAAACCCTATGTTCCACTAGGAACCCAAGGGACAAATAATATAATAATATAATATGCTTATTTTACTTGGTTCTTTTTAGGATTGGAATATCGATCATCAAACATTCTTCCAAGGCTACTCAAGTGATTTGATTGATCGTATTCGGGCAGCCACTACTTCATTTACCTCAGTAAATTCCTGTGCTGATGATTCACGCATAAAATTTGTTACGGAACAACCTGTCAAGAAGTCCAGCTCAACACTCAATCATCAGGTACTTGTTAAACGTGCCTGTTTGATCGCTAACTGGATAACAGTACCAGCGTGCCGAATGAAGGTTGTACTCGATTTAGCTTCAGTTGCTCCTCTGCCATGGCCTGACAGTTTACTCATATTAGCTGAAACTGTTCTTAAACAGACCAGGATACAGGGTTCCTGTTCGAAATATGTTGATGGACTAGTGCAGAAAATGAATGAATTGGAACATCTTTGCAATAAAGCTCGTCTTGATGTAATATTTACTAGGTGAGTATATATTGTCCGAATGGCGTCCTAATGTTTAGGCACTTCAGTATCATTCAACGATTTCACCCTTATTTGTGGAGGCCTCTACAGGCCATCCTATCAAATGCTAACCTATCAGGTTTTTCATTTGACTCTGAAAAGTAATTATTATCCTAAATAAATGAAGCTGATTGGTTATTTGAATAGTCGCTAGAGTAACTTGCAGAGTCACTCATTCTTGTCACGACTACTATACAAAAATCAATCTTTATCTAAACGTCAAAATCCATTGCATTTAATTGTCTATGTTGTTCCAAGCCAAAAACGTCATCTTATCGTCTTGATTTCATATTAGTCATGTTTTTTTAAGGCCGGTTAACTGTCATAGTTGAAGTTTTTAGTTGAAATCCAAGATCTTACAAGTTTTTATTGCATCTTAACGATTGAGTTGTTCTTGATTTTAATGGTTATCAAAAGGAATTTCTTAGCCTTTGCCTCAAAGCGAAAACTTCCAATCAACCTAGATTTAATGTCAATCTAAGAATCAAAATCGTGGCATGACCTTCAATTATGTTCGTGAGTTATCTTTCATCCATGTGATATGTAGTATTTAACGTGTTACTCATTTGATGAATGTGCTGTAAGTGGAGTAATCATCTATAAGTCGTTTATTGCCTTTATTGTGGTTTGTTCGGTTTTTAGTCCACATTCTAAATGATACTGGTAGAATTATAGCACGTCTCTATTGCACTCTGTTCTCTACAGTCTTTTCAACCTGGCTCCACGACTGCCCACAAGCTTTCATTTCTTCCTCACACTATCTCCTCCATGTCACCCTCACCTGGGACGCCCAACTCGTCGTTTCCCTTTTGAATTCCATTCGACGGCTTAACCTGGCGCGTGATGTCCCCGAATGGTCTTCTCAGTGTGTGCCCAACCCAACTCCACTTTCTTCTGCATATTTGTTAGGCGATGGGTTCTTGGTTGGTTCGTTGCCAGGCCAGAGTTCCTTGTTGCTTATTCTTATTATTCTGTCAATCCATCTGATCTTCAGTATCGAGTGAGCGTAGGCGTTAGGTGTTGATGAATGTCTGTAGTTTGTTGGGAATGCTTTTCGTCGTGACACGCCAAGTTTGTAAACCATATAGCAGCATTGACTTGACAGGGTTGGTGTTGAAAATCCGGATCTTGTTCTTTCTGCTGGGTAGAGTGCAGTAGATCTCCACACTGGTTTCAGGCTAATGAACGCCTGTCTTGCTTTTCCGATCCTGGTTTTGACGTCGTCGTCTGTGCCTGTGCTGCCTGTAGTTGAAACGATGCTGCCCAGGTTGAGAGGTAGGTAGGTGAAAGAGAGTACTTCCTTTATGTTTCTCCCGTTAATGGTGATTGGTGCTTGTTGTTGATGCTGTTGTTGGTTGGGTATCTTCATCACCTCTGTCTTCTCTCCGTTCACTTGAAGTCTGGTCTTGGCTGCCTCACTTTTTCAGTTAACTTGTTAGTTTTTGCCTGTAGATCTTCGAGTTTGTGCCACATAAGGCATTAGGCATAGATCACGATCAGTGAAATCCAAATCTTCTAGGCTCTTTTCATCGGTCTTCACAAACAGCGTATACCCATCTTCTCGCTCCTCACAGTGCAGTCGACCACGATCAGGAGGAGGATGATGGGTGATAGTAGGCGACAGCGTTGTCTTACTCCTTTCTTCACTTGAAAGGCGTCACTGAGCTTTCCATTGTGAATCACTTGGCATGTGGTGTCGTCATCTAGTTGTTGAATGAGTTTGATAAAGGTTTGTGGCTGTGAGACCGTATTGTTGAAGCAGCTGTCTGTCGAATTACTTGTCGGTAGAGGTTGTTGGAGGCCTTTTAAAAATCAATGGGGTTGAGGTAGAGAGTTGACTGTCATTCTGTGCTCTGTTCTGTGATGATGTGTAGGTTGCGTTGCGTTGCAATTTGATGCGCACATGATTTGTTCTTCCTGAAGTCAGCCAGTCTATTCCTGTCGTAATTTTGAATCCAGGGCATTTTTTAGTCTTTCCAAAACAAGATTATAAAATATGTATTACGGATCATCCTTACTGACTAATGTATTCTTGATGATTTTAAATACAAAAAGCTTACAAACTGTGATGTAGAAATTATCTCTACCTGCTTTGATAAAATGTGAAATGTGCATTAAACTGCATATTCCTTTTCTAAAAGAAGTACTATAAACATCTAAACAGGGTTGCTATGGAATTATAACTGGGTCCAGTCGTACAGCGAAGCTGAAAGTAACCTTGCCGGTTTGTATAGTAACTGGGCTAGAATTTTACTGACATTGAGTAGTCGATACACTCTGAAGAATTGGAGCAACTCTACTATATCAAATAAAAATATAGAATTTCTCATTCATTCTCACCTATTGCGCAAGCTGGGATATATGTTGACTGTTTTCTGAATCAATGTGTGTATAGTTTTGATTTTACTTCAAAAAAAATTACGAAAAATATCACTGTATTTGAAAATAAAAATGCAATAAATTATTTATACCACAATGCACCTACTTCTATCAGTTTAAATGTAGGTAAGATGTTTTTACTGGTTGCTCATCATTCGAATTTTCTTAAATACATCTATTCTAAAAGTTACTTTAGTTTGAAATATATTCAGTCCCTTGTTGAGAAAACAAAAACCTATTACTATTTGCGAAAACTCGCATCAAAGTGCGTTGGTTCAAGTTATCACACTACAAAATACTTGCTATGATTAAGTGGATAAAAAAGATTTATATTCAAGTTAAAAAGCTTATTAGAGAAGTAAGCATAAATAGATAGAGGTAGGTAAAAATATCAAAAACTTTCAAGATGAAGAAGAGTATACACATCCGAGCCATTTTGAGCGGTCTTCAGTCATGTCATCCCACGGTCTCCAGTCACTGACCTGTTTTCTGGAAAACTGCTATTGGGGTAGTCTGCATCCCTGACACATAGCTTTGATCAGCAGTGGTCTGGATACCATGAGTCTTTCTCCATTCCAGTCCTATTTTACCTGGCATTACTCGTTGAGTTGACAATAATTTAGCATATGCAACACATGCTGATCTATTTGGATCATTATTGGAACATAACTGTTTGCAGTACAGAAGAGAAGAGACACAATAAATTCACAAAGATGTTAAGAATGTACTCTTATTTAGTAATTCCGCATGAATATTATTTCTCTTCACCTAGGGTAGGTACCATTACTAAGAAAACATTGAAAAGGTTGAGCTCCATTTTATCAAACTTGGCCAGCTGAAAACTTATAGTCACATATTTTAAAATTCATCAGTATTAATCGTTACATTGCCATCAGTTACATATCTTTTTGTTTTTTTTTAGATATAAAATTAATGATTTCACTGTCGATGATATTGGTACCAGCTGTCGTCTATCGCTTGGTCATCGAGCTATTTCTCGCATTCTGCTGTCTACTGCAGGACCTTTTGGTGAATCTGTATCTTTCTGTGCTCCAGAACTAACTAGTGGCGATACTGTATATCGTGATGCTGTAACTGTTGCCCAAAAACTGTTCAATCAGACTACATGGCCTTGGTTATTTGCGCAACTATACATGAGGCTTACTCTTTTCAAAACTATGGAACAGAAAAAATTGGAAAACACTGTATGTCCAGATGAATATGAAAATCGTATTTCATTCTTCATTGCTCATTTGAATTTCTGTGCAACGGAGATACTCAGCGAATTGTTCAATCCAACTCATGAAATCAATAACTCCACGTCACAGTTCGTCTTTATCCGTAACTGGTTAATTCATTTGACATTTCGCTCCTTCAAGCAAATCCTAGCAAAAGGGAACGTTCTGTTTTCATTCCAAGTAATTTCATTCGTATCAATTTATTCTGAATTATAAAACATGACTTGTGTTACGACCTGTGACATATTGACTTCTTGTATCTATCTATGGAAAACTATCATAAAAGTAGACAGTTCTTTCTGTTCAACTGAGTCTTTAAGTATTGCCATTTTTTGTGAATAGCCGCTTGTTTAGACACAGGATTATATCGGAATTATAGAAGTCGAAGTCTTTAGTTCATCATAGAAATAATTCTTATGAATTGTAGCAATTTCTTCTGCGTAATATTGTGCCGTACAGTGGTCGTGACCCCATGTAACTGTTAGCACCCTTCCTTACCTGCTTAAACCTTTCTGCTCATACTAAAGCAACCACTAGCTAAACATACCGTTTTTAGGTTAAAAGTATTTTCAAGGCGTGTATAAATATTAGACATGCTGTGCTTTGTAGGTTAAATTTTTCAACTTTATAATTCGTTCTGCTTCAATCAGAAACATATTTGTAGTATGTTACTGGGCAGGTATCCTGTCAGCTGCTCCTTTTTAAGCAGTGATAAATGATTTCACCCCTGAAAGCCTAAATTTTAGTAGACCTTTCATTTCAAATACAAAGCAGTTTTACATAGGTATAATTTTCTGTCATTTCGTATCAGTGCACATCACATTGCATAGACACGTTTAGTAATAACTTCTACTGCCTGGATAAGTCTTATGTAGATCAGTTTTCTTAACGTATTACCGAGCGCTACTGATGTAAGCACTACATTATATGTCAGAACTTTACCACTGCGTTAATGCAGTGTTTTTAATGTAGATTCTATTTGTACGAATGTGTAAGGCTTCAATGCTACTTTGGTTTCCGGAGAAATTTTTAAATGTATTACTCAGAAACCAATAAGTTTTGAAAGATTTATGAACTCATTCGTTTTAAACTCTACTACTTTTTGGTGGCATTTCAGTAATTGTGTTTCTGCTCATCACCCTCAAGTTATCAATTTGGCATTCAAATAACTATAAATTGTATTCATGGTGTTGTGATTCATTGGTTTAAGTAAATAACTTTCGACTATCGAGTCACAGGTTCGAAAACCATTCACCTACCGAGATCTGAGCAGCCAAGTAGTATCATTAGCCCCCTCACATAGTAGGTGTGGCTTATTGCCTACTGCACGAATGTGCACAAAGTTGATGAGTGGATTTCGAGTTATTTATTCATTAGTAGTAGACAAGGTTATAGCAGATTATCATTCCTTTTTTAATGCTCGAAACATATATTACTTTCTTTTTTTACTGTTATAAACTTTGCTTATTCCTTGGTCGATCTTTTCATGTATTCATATAGCGATGTTTGATCGTCGATATTGGATTGTCAATGGCTTCTATGATAAGAACTTTGAATCCTTCTGGAACCGAAAAGACTAGTACACCTGTAAATTGGTCTAGCATAATGAAATTCGCAAAATTGTATTTCACGCCATCCACTTTGGATGAAGCAGAAGCATCAGTTATTCTACAACTTTTTTCTGATGATACATTTTTGCCTGCTTTACTTTCCAATCGATTATTAGTCGTTAGACGTTTAACTAAGCTTTGTGTGGAACAATTACATTCTACTCATGAATCTACAAATATGAATAACTTCTTCAGTATTCCTTCCAGATTATGTGCTACCTATACTTGTCTACTATCAGATATTCCTAGTGGTATACGAAAGGAACTTCTAATTTGGGAATGGTTTTCATCTTTATGTTGTACCATTTGTTCGCCGATAGCTTCAAGCGAATCATGTTCAACGTCAAATTTATTGAATGTTCAAGATTCATTGGTTTCGCGGGCACTTCTCATTCAATCTGTTTTAGCTGAAATGGCTAAATTATTAACACATGGTAAGCTTTTTTAGCAAGACCGCAGTAACATATGTTTCCTTTTTTGTACTGACTGATTGACAACTCTTATATCGCCTTTATCTTTCTCTTCACAGTGAAGGAAATATGCGTGTACAGGATACTGGGCAAAGGGAAACGTGAAGTGGAAGGATTTTCTTCAACCTATATCTGCTTTGTGCCAACTTGTTTTATTGTAACTTTATCTGGAATCACCCTCTCGCTCGCCTAGGCTGTATCATTAAATTGTTTATACAGTTTATTTTACCATTTCTTTTGAAAACTGTGAAATCAGTACCGTTTACTGAGGCGTCTTCTCGCAAATCAATAATCAGCACTTTCCGAACAGTTTTATCCACTTTTTTGTCTTTGCTACAGTGGTCAGGTGCACAAGATTATGCAAATCCTATTGCTGAAAGAAAGTGCAACTGTCACATGTTGGGTAAGTTTACTGTTTTCAAAAGATATTGTAACTCATTTGCAAATCTCTGAATGCAAATTGACTGTTGATGATATCCTCATCACTTCACTATTTTTGTTTACATTTTTCATTGTGTTTCATATTTGATTGAAATGGAGTTTCACTGTAACTTATAATTTTCAAAATATATGAAAACTTCAGAATGATACTTTCTATAATTTCTTCTGCCTTTGGTAGTCTATGTCAAGTCCAGTGCATTTTTATCTATAAGTATTATGTCAAATTCTTGCTAAATAGGTGTTTAGAGCAAAAGTGTTTTTTGAGTTTCGGATTAGACTAATCGCTTGACTAAAGTGAGAGTAAAATCAACGCAACATTCAGTAATGGCATAAAGGTTGATGTAGCAGGTCAGCAATCATGTTTCCTGTTTTTTGAAAGCTATTGATGTAACTAGATCCAGTAGTACACGCCCACTAAGCCACCTGAGATCGAGCCCAGAACCTTCAGGTTTCACGGCGAATGCGTTAACCATTGGGTAAGAGTTCAGTGGTCCACACTTCCCTACCTCTGTCAAGTTACAACATCGGGTGGCTATCCACCAAGGTCTTCAGTTGGTATACACTTCACTTTCGACTGGTTGACTCCATTGTTCACAGTTCCTCAGGTTTTTAATGGTGATGAATACTACTTTAAAAATAAAACCATTATTAATCTCAAAATCCTTACAATTAAGTCACACAGATCTCAGTAGGTAGAGCATATTACTGAACTGTGATACAAAGATGGAAATTAAGTACCTAAACCAATGAGTTGTTATTTTTGAGTTGGATTCGTTTTTGCTAATGTGTGTGCGGTTGTCAGACAAACTAAAATGTAATTTTTATGTTGTCCTGCTTCTTGTATTTTACAACTTACCTTATCTATATTTTTCTCTTAATAGGAGTGGTTTTTAGGAACAAAATTTATTACATTGTTGATTGTGTTAGCTAAAAACAGTTTAAAAAATCTTTTAGTTTCATCATTTTTTAATTTTAATGAACTAAATAAGATGAGTTTCTCTTAAACGCCATAACCTGTGTTCTGATGTATATCATCTGATTGTGTCTATCTAGAATATAGTGGAATTTATATTTCAGTGCATCTCTTCGATGGTATTTTCCTCTTATTATTTCCAGTATATACGACTTAATTTCAGGTGGAACTTATAGAAATCTTACTGTCCAAGCGTCTCTGTTTATTGATAACACATCAACGGTATAAACTAAAATAATGATTAACATGTAGCTTCTGTTTTTCCCTTTTGTTGTCAGCTTTAACAAGTGACTTTCAAAATCTTCGTCAAATTGTGCAAACATTTTTCAATGTTTTTGATCAAATTGATCATGCCTTTCAAGTAAGATTTGTATTTAAATTTTTCTTTTGTAAGCAGTTTAGTTCCTTTATTGCACTACCCGATATCAATTTAATGTTGACCGAACTAATAGTGATACATGTTGATCCTGCAAAAGGAGAACATGTAGATTTAAAAAACAGTGACTTTTTGTCTTGATATATTTCTATTTTTTCTACTTTTACATTCCAGGGTTTCCTCCCCTCTCCAGCAGTAATGCAGAAACGATTGGCTTGTGATTTTCTTGTGTTAAGTTTTTCAACTGTAGAATGGTTTTGTAGGAAAAAAAAAGTGTTCAAGTTTCGATGAGAAAGTTGTTTACGATAACTGGGAATACTAAAAATATCAGTTAGTCTTTCTAATATTAGGTTACTTTTAATCTAATTAATCTCTGTACAATGTCTTATCGTTTTCTTCAATGCGTGTTTAAGACATGATGTTACTGTGGCCTACACAGTGAAGCAAGCGTCCAACAAAATCTTGTTTTGATTTTCTAAACATGCCGGGGATATTTTGAAATGTGTTCTAATAATAATTAGACCAGACTAGTTGCCTTATTTTCCTAAGATGTCTCTAAAAGTTATGATTTAGTGTCGTTAAAATTTTAAAGTCTGCCTAACAAGTAACTGTTAGCTTACTTACTTCATCCTGCATAAAATAAATGTTAAAAGTTAATTGTTAGCTTTCATGATATTTTCATCCTTTTGTTCTCTTGCAGAATTAATGTGTTTATCTGTAAGCGGAACTCAACGTTATAACATCACTGCAATTGTATCTGTGGAGAATGCCAGTTATACTGGCATTGTTTGAACCCTCTTTTGTAAATATCATCTGTATACAAATTTAATATATTGGACTACTTTTTTTTAGCATAGATCTTTACTGTTTAATGATTACATTTTGTATCCGTTGCCTTTTTGATTCCACAATAAATCCCATAGTGCACATGTCTAGACTGAGTTAAAGTTCAATTTTTTGAAACTATCTGAGTGAATGATACTCAATATTTTCTCATTTGTAATTCCCGTTGAATGAAAGAATAATCTTTTTCTACCTTCATCGATTGGTAATTGCATATCCACTTGCCTATCACGGCTGATCTGACTTTTCAAGTTATTGAAGTGGTTAATCTGCTCGAGCACTTCAGACGAGGAAACATCTTTTTTTTGGTTGGTGAGAAATGCGTCCTAAACATTTTCTCATACAGTTCTGGAAAGACTGTCTAATATTCCTTAGGAAAACTCTAACTAAATCCATAATAGTTTGTTATCCTGACTTTTTATCGTAGCTTACTTACAGTCCTTTGGTAGCTCAAGCAAAAAAAGTTGATGCAAATTTTCGTGAAACGGAACACCTAAAATTAATGCATACCTTGTCTGTGGATTGACTAGCGTGTTTATCAACTAATGTCTATTATTATCGATGGCTTTATCAATCATCGGGTTAAGTATGGCTAATTTATGCTTTCCAGACGCTTCTTTCATAGTACAAATTGACATCTTATTTTACTATGTGTAGTCATCGGTTCTTTATTTCTGTATTAAATAGGAATTAGAAGTGTGCCATAAAGATCCCTTGGAATATGTGTTTTATGCTTCTATGTATCGCGAACAAACTACTGTTGATGTTGCCCACCCGGAATTACTTTCAAGTCATTTCGTCACTTCGTTGGAATGGCTCATATCTCTGTTGAAATGGTTTACTTTCCGCAATTCATATAAACGTGATAGCAAAATCGGTAAGTCTTCGGATGCTAATTCTTCAGTGTAATACATTTGTCAGGTCTTTAATACTGCTGGATAATAGCCAGATACCCTAGGTTTCTTTCTATTCACGATTCATACCAGTAGCCAATGATTTTATGGGTTAGTGTCACACTTTAATGTGATTGCCCTAACTTTTTTCTGTAAACTGTTAACACTGGTGTTGTTTTGCATTGTAAATCAGTATACGTAAAACACTACTCATTACTTCGGTCAATGTAGGTACACAACCAAATCGCCTAATTGGCCTATGTTACCTGACTACTTCATCAGTGCCACCATTACTCATCCGCATTCTGAAAGTAGTTCTATGGCAATAATAGTCAAATACTTGAAACCCATTACCATCTGGTAACCTTAGGAAGCAGTCATTCAGCTATATACTAGGGCGTAGCGGACTGGTGGTCAGGATATTCGCCTTTTGATTGATGGTGGGATATCTCACAAGTGCCGAAAATGGCTTATACCGCATGATGATCTTACCGATAAACCCATGATCAGGTCTTAAAACTCCTCTGTTTATCGAGCTTTGGGTTATTGAAATGGATTTTATAAATAGTATATCCAATAAACTTTTAAAGAGCGTGAAACGGATGTAGTGTTGTAATTTTGTATTGGTAGTTCAGATTATATTAAGATATGATAGGAATTCCTGTTAAATTTCTTCGATCTTCAAAATATTTCCAGCAATTACTTCTGTTTATAAGGTTTGACAAGATACACTTTATTCTTAACGTCCATTGCTTTTACGTGAAATGTTATCAACAATATATTCACACACCTACATATATTGAAGTGAATAAAGCATATAAGATAAAAGTACAAAAGATCAAGCGATTAAGACAGAGGTCAAACCACAAATTGGAAGAGGAAAATGATCTATAAATAGATCCTGGTACTAAAGTTGACTCTCTAAACCAGATTTAGTTTAGTGACAAATTGTTTTTAAACGCGGGTAGTGTTTATCTTAAATAATATGAATATCTAATACAGATTTTAAGTGTTTGATATTTAGCCATTCTAGTTTGTTAGCTTGTAGCTTTTATGGTGATCTTGATGTACATATTCTTCCTTGGATTTTCCCTCATTCCGACAAAAATTAAGGTGTACACTTTGTTGATATAGTAACAGAATGTCACGCCATATGCTGACGGACATCAGATCGTGAATATATTCCCTACATATAATCCATGTTTGTCACATCTTTTGAATCACCTATCACACTGAATGAAGGCACTGTAATACCACCAGTTCATTGACTTTGTATCATCAGATTATATATATTTAGTTTGCCAGATTCTCAAGGTGGATCCCCCATATGCACTAGTGCGGGATGAGCTGTAGTCTAAGACTTTTATCTTTTCACTTCTGTTAAAGCAAGTTCGCTTACTGAGGGTGATTAATATGAAACTCAATGCATACTGTTATGAAAGCTCTTCAAGACGGAGAATTTATTCTAGTCATACTTAATCTGTCCTCAAGCATAATCTTTATGACAATGATTTCAACAAACCGTAGTGTAATTAAAGCCTTCTGATGTTAACTATTTGTGCTGCGAGTTATTGAACTGATAAAAGAAACATACCGTTTCACATGCTCGAAATTCCTCGTGGGTAACTGTTCTTCTAGTGTATTTGTTCCCACGCGTGCATAAGCATTTGGGTTGTCAAATATCAGTAAACTCATATATTGTTTATCAAAGTTACTTCTTTCATAGAAGTGTAAATAAAATCTAAATTAAATGCTGATATTTCATTAGATTAATACTCATTTGGAAGCCAATGTAAGAAATAAAAACATTTGGTCATATAAATTAGCGAATCTCTTTTTTTCGACATTTATTTTAACTTGGCACTTTTTGTTTTTTTTAAATTCAGATGATGCTGAACGAAAAGAATTTGGGAAGAATGACATTGGAGTTAATCAGCTTCTGAAAGGTGGTATGGAGATCGCTTCAAGTTGGTCCTTCGAATTAGGTATGAGCCTGACTGGTGCTCATATTCTCTTACTCAACACTGTTAATCTTATAAGTTCACGCGTCACTCAAAGTATTTGGTCAGATTCATATATTGTTGTAAGTAAATACTATCTGTTACTTTTTGCTGTTTTGGTTATCAAAATTGCCATGCACATGAACTGCACTAATTCTGTATGCATCGTCTTTGTTATTTGTATCTTACTATTTTTATAAATTGGATCTAGTGTGTTCTGAAGTAAATTACGTCATATTTAGATAAAAACATTCATCTAATATAAATTATTGGTTGTAATACTTGTTGTGATCACAATAGTACTGAACTGGTTTATCAGTTAAGAACCAATGCACATTACAAAAGGACCAAAGAAGTATTTAAATTTTAACTGAAGCAGCTAATAGCCAATGGTGTTTTAAAACCCTAAAGAAGTTCACAAATATGAACAGTTAGCTGAAAGTGTTTCGAAACTAAAAAATGATCCTGCTTATCAGTATTTAGAGGATTATAAACTCGTTTTTGTAACAAATGTGGACATACAACAGCAGGAGGAGGACGGTATCGCTTAATTGAACTGCCATTCCAGCATGTATCACCGTACACAACCATGCCCAGCTAGCTGTACAACGTTACCCTCTGATGTCCATCATAACGTAATTGCTTACGCTATAACGGTAACTGTATTTTATCTTATCACTTTTCAACAGGCCTTTTAGGCATGATAGTACCGCAAGCAAAAAATATCCCCACCGGCATAGCTTGTTGAGTCTTTGTGGTATGCAGTTGTCAAACAAGTGACATGTTAGGGCCTAACATAAAATCGTTTGTAGTCTTCTTTTTGTCATTTGTCTTTCTTAACATTTACAAAAGCGATTGTATTATCACCTGCTGTGTCGATGGTGAACAACACTGTACAAATCTATTATGGATTAGCATTCGACTATGTTTCATTTCACCTCATGATTTCATAAGGTATAATTTCTCCTTATATATGTCACTTTAAATCTTTTACTTTTTACAACTGAACTATAGACCGTTGTTAATGACGAACTCAGAGATGATTTAATCGTTGGATGTTTCAATCTGTGTACCAAGTACCTATCATGTGGTTTGAATTCAGTTCTAAATCCATCTCATGGAAAATATTTAGATCAACCTCTGGCTTTATCCTTATCGCTTGCTTTGCCTATCGAGGAAGCTACGTATCTGGTTCGCAATGTTGTCGCGCAAAGTAAACATGCACCTAAAAAGATAATGGTGAGTACAATGGCAATAGTCTCTGATGACCTGTTCAAAATATTGTAATGGTAACCCCATCACCACTGACGAGTGTTGTTTTTCTGTATAAAAGCACTGACAAACTGGTAAGGTAATCATTTCACAGCCTGCTCATTTTTATTCTTGAATTGAGATCAAACGTCGCTTGCATGTTTCACATAATTGTCACCAACGATATCAAATGAATACTTTTGAAACTTCTACATCTTTTGAATGATAACTTCATGTGTAAGCAATCTGTACAGAATATATTTCTTCAGGATTCGTTACAAGTATCATCACCAGTATTTTATGGCTTATGATAATCGTATTTGAGTTGTAACCACTTAAGTGGCAATCGTTTTTAGTTGGTCAAAAGAAAAACTCAAGTGTGTTTCGAATCCTACTTAAGTATCATACTTCATCCAATCTTAATGACAACATAATCGAATTGTTGTGCTTCTGTCAGTAATAACTAGGTTGAACAGACTATCTCATGTATACAATACTACATTAGTTAATTTTCTGTCCCACACAGTTCAGTTTGTGTCTGATGTGTCATTTGAGAAAATCTGTAAATGCTTTAATAACTACCATCGATTAATATTTCTTAGCAATGATTTCACAGTTTTCTACTTTTTATGAGTTTCAGCTTTTAACGCCTTACTGTATATGTGCATGTCTTTATGGTTTCACAAAACTAAAACTTATTGATTTGCGGTAGTGCCATCAAATATAGCAAAACTTAATCTTTAACTTAACTCTTTTAGTCCAAACTTAGCATATATTCACTGAGTCAACTAGTTTTATATCACGTTATATTTTGATCTCGTCATATTTATCACTTTAGTAACCGACTCATTGTGCTTTTTATGATCGTTTTTTTTCATAACTGTTCAACTTTTGGTACCACTACATTATAAATCGTAGTGTTTAAGGTTGTCACTATGTTATCATGTGCCAGGTTGGCCAGATCGAGACCTGGCACCAGTCTAGAAAGTCTCTTACTGTTGGTTTGAGTCGTATGGGGAGATTTTGACTGCCTGGCTGGGATCCCCGAGATGAAAAGAATCAGTGGTTGGAGAGCTCTTGATGATATGCCTCAAGATCGATCACAATGGTGCAGATATATTCACTCCTTGACATCTAAAGCTTGACTTTTCGCACTAACCGTTACCATCAGACTGTTTATTCTCTGATACAACTTCCTCTACTTTGATATCACTCTTATTCTATTCACCTGTTCTTGATGTACTACTGTGGGGTGTAACAACTTGAGCCGATGAACCTGTGTGCGAAGTTCTATGTTGATTTCATCAGTCATTCAGTATCATTTCGATAGAAACTATATGTCATTAAATATTACTTAGTAGTTCTACTTTACTTTTTTAAAGTATCATAGTCCACACTGAGTAAGCTAATTCCTGTTGTGTTTTTTTTACATTTCTACAAATAGGCAGTCGCCGGTATTATATATATGTTTTCTCAAATTACACTCAAACGAGAACTGGGTCTACTGGAACTTAGTCAAAATATGGCTAAGATGTGGAGTTGGCATATTGCTCTCAAACCGCATAAAGTGCGTACGCAGAAGTTGTTTTATTCATTTTTTTAAAGCATAATCTAAACGTTCCATCGTTGTAGAATTCATCACCACTTGATTATTATGCATCTCATGCTACTATTCCGCAATTAGTAACTAAATAATTAATAGCCTAATTACCTTAGAAAAGCTATCATTTGATTGTGCTTAATTGCTTTTATTGGCTGTTGTGATCAGCTACCACAGCCTATCCAGCAGAACTGTTTTCGATCTCTACTTTATCAACAGTCCTTGTCGGTTCAACCTTTATTCTTTGAAAATAGTTCAGGATATGTTGATTATCTGTTGCTCTTAACTTTCATAACTCTCCTTTCTCAGTCCTCTGATTTCACCACTTGTTAGTTCTGTTATCCGAAAAAGATGACTTCGTTCTTTTTACTTTTGGTGCGCAGACTGATTTAAAGATTATATGTCTTTAGAAAGCCATATAGCTAACAGTTTTTGATTGACTCCACCAAGTAAAATATCTAACACATCCTGATTTTCATCTAAGCCATCATTTAGTTAGCAAAGTGTTGTAGAAGAGAAATCGGATGAAGTGGCAGATATTGTTTACTAGGAAATCACAGTTGATAATGACTAAAGATATTAAACATAACATAAAGTCACTGGTGCAAGTGTTTTCCTTGTTCTACATCCCAGTGCTCCTACTCTGCGCATTTTTATTCCAAATTATGTATTCTTTCCTCTTGAAACTACGTATCGATTGTTGCTAAGTTTTGCCTTTCCTGGTGTCAGGCTATGTGGTGCTTAGTATACATCCTTATGACTAGCGTTTATCACATTAGTATTCTTAGATGAATTATACTTGCACAAGAATCCATCTCAGTAGGAACTCTCATTAATATTCAGCCTGTAAATCCTACATATGACGGAACTTATCACCTGGATACCACCTTAAGTTACCATCAATTTCAGAATATCATCAGTGCAGATATGGCAATATTCTTTAGCAACCTGTTTTTTAACTTTTTTGATAAATTCTTTACCATTGTAACTGAAAGTTCTCATGGAAAATAAATATACACCTTACTCTTTTTCTAACCTAAGCTAAACTTCAGTCGGATAGTGGCGAATGGAATGGATACTTCATCTTTAGAACACATACTTGACAAGTTGTGTCGTATGGTACCATCACTCAAAGGCGCATCTGCTCACCTATTGCCTAGTGGTCCGCAACATGAATCTATGCCAATTAAATTAAACTCTTGTGTCGAGAGATCTCTACCTCCACTGAAATTGATTGCCAGATTTTCTGAGGATTTCAATTTACCCTTGAAACCATACCTACTTAAGCATTTAAATGCTTTATTACAACCATGTAATAGTTCTATTCGTATGAGCGCTGCACCTGACTTTAAGTTTGCCCTCGGTGGAAGTAGTGGTTCTATGTTTTTTAACTCTAATAATAACGACAAACGCTTCACAACATCTACAAATATAACCAATAGTTCTGAAGTGCATCATTACTTGTAAGTACTGTATGTTTTTTCCGCAGATAGTTGTTTATTTTAATTACATTTGCATCAAATTGTGTCCTGTTAAATTACTTCAATGTCCTTTTAGGAAGTTTATAATCATGTTTGGATTTCTCTGTGGATTATGAACAAGCCGTTCATCAAACATTTTTATATGCTATACTTCTGAAGTAGCGTACTATATTCCCTAATATCTCATTGAGATGAATTTACATTTTAAGATGTTTTTTGTAGGAACTATAATCTTGAGTTTTTAGATCGTATTCTACATAAGTGGGAATCTACTGTTCTGTATACAAGCACTTGTTAGTGACTGATAGTTTATTTTCAATGTTGTGCCGTTTCTGGATAATTGAATGCTTTTGATGGGTTATTATTTTAATCACTATTTGTTTATATGCATTTGAACTGTGCTGTATATACCGAGGTTTAGCCCTATTAGGTGGGGGGCAATCTTAAACTGACGCAGAAAATGTGGCTTATTACTTGATACATAAACATGTTAGTGATTGTTCAGATAAAGTGTTGTTTGCTGTTTTCGATTATCATAGTAGTTTATAGTTCCATAGACTTTGTAGTTAACTTATGTGCTTTCGAGCTGGTAAACTTTTTATTTGATCTCGAGAAACGACATAATCTATAACTAATTGATTGATCGGTGGTTAACTAAATGATATCTACTGGTAACGAAAACAACTTTCATATAGGATAATTTTTCGGAAAATAGTTAATCATTTCAGGAATGAAATGCATCTAGTTCTTTTGACAAATTTGAACAATGCAAGAACAAAGATATTTGCAGAACAAAATGAACTCACTTTATTTCAATGCCTTTCATCAGCTACAAACAGTCTACAATTGAATTCAAGTATTAGTAGTACTATTGACACAACATACTTTAAATATGTAGAAGTGAGTGGAAATTTCGAAATTCAGGATTAACAAAGATAGACTATATACATACGCATGCCATGAATTATATATGGTTACCAAGGTAAAGAAAGGTTAGTTACAGTCTTTTTCTGAGAACATAGGTCATGTTAAAAATTTCTGACAGCGACAGCTTATGCAAACCTCAATAAACATGGCATTGTTTTTTTTTGTTGCTTATCCTAAAGTATTGAGAAATATACATTTGATGTCCTGTTTCCACCAGGTGTCTGGCGATTGCGCTCTTAAGGACCTTGCTACCTTTCAGACACATCTCTTGGAATATGCTCTTAAAATCGAGTAGACGCCCTTCCTCCGGTCCGTTTTATATACTTGCTTCCACAAGCGCAGGTGAATTGACATACACAGTTAGAGGCGACGTGAGGTGGGTATTTGCCTAATTTAACTGCGTTCCTGAAATCAGTCTGGTAGCAAGGGAGCTCCTTCTCAGTGCAGCGTTTATTCTTCTGTCTACTCTTTCAGATGTCTCATCACCTTCGAATCCTAAACGAAGGAAAACACGCTTCTTCTTAACAGTTGGATCTTTTGGTTTCAATAAATTATTTCCGATGCTAAATTCTTTCGGATATCCATTCTCTATGAGAGCATTCTTAACTATACCGAATTCTTCCTGTTTATCTTTTGAGCACATCGTTTTATTCTAGTGAATAGCGTCTTTACTAAACCACGCTTATAGCTGACAGGGTAAAAACTAACGTAGTGAAGGTACTGACCAATCCACGTGTCTTTCTTGTAAGCAGTTTTCTTAACCATACCATCACGTCTCTGTCTGATACTGTGACCCAAAAAAATGAATCTATCAGCTGTTTGCAGCTGATGAAAGGCGGTGAAGTAAAACGAGTTCATTTCATTCTGCTGGTGTCTTTTTTCTTGCATTTTTCAAACTGTTAATCAGTTTTACTTTCTATGTATATACTTTGTGAAGAATTAAACTATCATTATTTAACTTTAATAAACAATGAGTTTGGATTTTGATAAATTTTGTCCAGTGAAAAATCACACTTTATTATAAAGCTTAAATATCTATTCCTTAATCGAATACCTGACAAAATGAATGTAAATAATCATGCATTAATTAACTTCATCAGAAAGTTAGTCGGTGAAAGGTAGCAACCAGTCGTCAATAATTTCCAATTTGTGATATCCGTCCTTCCTTTAAATTTGAAACCTACTCGCCTGTTTCAAGTAGTGAGTGATTCATAAAATTATTTTTGTATATATTTCGATATCAGTATGTGTAATAAGTTGAAACCTATGGTTGGGATCAGATTTGAGCAAGCTTTGAGAACTAGTACCCACCTTTCTAAAGTCATATTTAATAGCCTTGGCATAGTGTTCTGAGACAGTTTTAGCATTTACATTTTCAGAGGTTGATGATACGATATTCTTAATTTTATGTTTTATAGTCATCATCACCAATATCTGCCACAACTCTTTTCATCTAATGTGTAAATCTGGATCGTTTTTCGTTGTAGATTGTGACGTTTTGTATAAAGTTTTCAGGTTTAAATTGATTCAACGCTTCTCTTATTAATACTTATCACAGAAAAAAAATTTCATTTCTCGGTTAGTTTCCCTTTTATCGGGATTTTCTCTACGATTTTTAACATTCCAGCTAAAAATTATGACGATCATTTCTTTGTATTCATTGTTGAAGTGCATACATAGGTTACGGATGTATGTTGGATAATTGATTTACTGGAACTGTTGACCAATCAAACTTTTAAGTTGAACTGAAATAGATCAACTCCAGATGCAGTCTATTTACTATACTTTTTCCACTTGTTAAGAAAAATCAGAAGTTATTGCTTTTTGTCACTTATATATTTTATAATCTGAATTTTCTAAATACCATTATTTTGTTTCTATGATAATTGCCAATATATTTTCGCATTATTTCCCTTGGTTTTCATTTTGCCGTCAAAAGACGTTGTCAGAAAATATGCCTATCTCGTGCTCATGCCATACTCAGATTTTTATTCCGGGAAGCTATGCGAACAAATAATCCACAACTATCAATTACTGAGTTAGCAAATATAATGCAGTCTTTTTATGTCAATACATCACCATACGATTATGAACGCATTAGTTTCTTACTTTCTTGGATTTATACTTGCTGCCCAAAGATGATCACGAATAAAGTTAGTTTTTTAAATCATTAACATTGTACTTTTTAAAATGTGATTACTAATTACATCGACTTTTCAGTTTCACTAGCCATTAATAAGCTTAGCCGGTAAGCCGTAGTTTAGCAGACTAGTATTTATACTGGGTATTGGTCGAAGGTAAAATGTAAATTTGGACCGCGGTTGGATTCTAACCAATGACTACCGAGTTTCCGGTCCGATGCTCTACCAACTAAGCATCGGGCCGAAAACTCGGTAGTCATTGGTTAGAATCCAACCGCGGTCCAAATTTACATTTTACCTTCGATCAACACCCAGTATAAGTTCTCATATTCGTCAACTCTTCTACTTCCCTTAAATAAAAACACGCTCAGTGTTTCTGAGTTTGAAGTCTCACTATACTCCGGGAATTCTTTTAGATTATCATAAAACATACATTATATCTTTTCATTTATTTTACCTTTAACATAAGCTTCAATTTTAATAGTGCACACATTTTTGATGTTTGCTCAACTTGTGATAAGTAACGTAAAAAGTCACCGACACCACAAATAATTAAGCGGTCGATAATAGCGTATCTAAGTAACTAGACTGTGATCTATATATGTAACTGTATCTTAAGATTTTTCTTCCTAATTTTTCGATCCCGAATATTTCTTCTTGTCACTTTATAAAGGAAATTCAACTACTTAGCTATCTCCGTACTTACAAAAGATCGTTTCCGCCTCGTGAATATGAATGTGTTTCACCTGCTATCGGAAATGAAGTAAGTTGTCGTCGTTAAGTGTCTTTTTATCGCATGCTACTTTGAATCGTTAATAAATATGCCAAAGAAAAGTACAGTTCATGTGCAGATGTGTGTATATCCGTTTACAGACTGTGGAAGATATATCTATTCTCTGAAAACTAGCGATCATAAGCATTCGTTGAAGTTGATTTAAGTTGTTATATATATGGGTTAGGCACTTGAACAATAACCGTAGGTTTCACGCTTTACGGTCACTATGTCCGTCGATGACAGAAAAGAATAGGCAAAAACGATAAAGGTTTATTGTCTAGTCGAATGTGCACGAAAACTAACGGTTTATATGCATTTTTTGATGGCCTTGGAAAGTTCTACACTTTTTTAGAGAGGCCTTTAATCAATCTAAGTCTCATACATATGATCACGTGGTTTTTGCGAACGTCCCACATACCATGATTGGCTGTGAAGCTTTTCAAAGATTTTTAGGCTTCTTTTGCGTAGCTAGAGGATATTGTCTCACTCTATAACAATGGTTTGGACTACAACCTAGCTGCTCAAAGGCAAGCGAGACTCTATATTGTTACTTACATTTTGGGCAACTATTTATTAACACTGTAATGTAGTGACTATACAGTCACCATCATTGCATCCCACCAACTAAAAAAAATGATTTTATTCTGCAGCAGGTAACAAAGAAGATAACTGTATGTCTTTTTAGTTCCTTTTTTTTCTATACACTTTAATCATCAGCAAAGCAACACGTTATACGAAAGATGAAGTACATACTTTTGTGATGATGTATTTACATTTTGTATTAGGATCAAAAATCATATGTGAACGAAATTAACTGAAAGTAAGTTATTTTAAATGAACAAAGAAAAGGAAATGAAGAACAAATATATCTCAATAAAATTTAAGTAATTTTAACTTACGGTTTTCACTAGCAGTCATCATTTCATCCCAGTATAGACTGTAGATGGTATTGTACGGGATATCCTCAAGCCGGTTAAGTTGATGTAACTTTTTAATTTAACCAAGGGGTGTGCATAAAACTCTACACCTTATTTAAGTGCTTTTCACTCAATTTTTCTACTGAAAACTTTCATATTTCCCTTTGCTATTTGGATCACTTAAGTACACTTATTATTCGGAGGTGGTGATATCCTACATTTAGTTTAGTTCACTTTCATACTGAATACATCGTCTTGCTGTTTGAACAGGAAATCATGCTAACACAGTTTCAACATGTCGAAGTGTTTATGAACTAGTTTTTCGTTGTCTTTTTTTTTAGCTTTCTCTTTGATTTTAATCAAAAGTAGTCGAACACTAAATCAGTTTTACAAAACCTAATATCGTGTGATTTTCGTGACAACGAACGGTTAAAGATGTATTGGAAAAGTTTTATCAGCGTGATTCGTTTATATATAATGTCCTGTTTTTATTTGCAAATACTTCTAGGACCGCTTTTGTATTATCATGGTGTTTATATTCCACTCTTCATCTATTGTAAACTGATTTCTACGGATCCTCTTTTGTTTCAGGGCTTTATGTTGTCTAAATTTATTGACCAACACCAACTATGTAATATAAGAATGCCTTATCATCAGTTGTTCAGTGATTCATTTCCAATTAGAATTGCAGGTAATTTATAATTTTACTACATAAGTACATTGATACTGAAGCTATTTTTTGGAATAATTGTGTAATCATTTTAAATTTTGTAAACAATCTGTTGATGCCGGAGTCTTTTACCAGTTTATAGTTCAAACTACGGTTTATAAAATTTCATATAAATAAACGTCTACATGACAAAATTGTCAATACACGGAGACATGAAATTCGTCATTTCTTTGGACTTATTTACAATTTTTCTGTAAACCTACCTTTTGACCATGTTTTGTTTGCAAGTAGATGTCAAAAATTTAATGCTCTTATCAGCTTCATATCTCTGTCTACGCCGAACTCATCATTTTATGCGAATAATAATGCATCGGTCAATGTGTATGCGAACAATATTTATGCCGACTATAGCAAATTCTCGATATCCATAAAACGTGAATTATCTTTATATGTAAAAGGAATTGCAGTGAGTTGCTATACTGTAAGCTGACAGAAGTAGGGAATGTGAACTTTTGGATTCTCCGACGTAGTGGATCAATGCCACAGTATTGGCTATGGGGAAATTCAAACATGAATATTTTCTCCTCAAAGAAAGCATGTCAAGTGGAAACTGATATCGTCGAAAGAGAATGAGTAATAAACTAAATACTTACAGAGGCATGCATACCAGTACACATCCTTTATTAAACCAAGTGCTTAAGGTTTTTTAGAAATCGGTATAGTAAGCTTCCTCACTCAAATTATGTTTGCTTCATCGTGGTTAGCTTTAACGCACCGGCGTAACACCACTTTTGGCATCGGCATAGTAATTACTAAACATGACTGGAATATTGAAGATATTATGCTTAATACACTCCTTTATTCGGCTAATAAATATCACAGAGTCATATCCAACGTCATACTATTAAATATACTTCGTAAACCAAACCATCCGGTTCATTGCTGGTCAGGATACGTTTATACTTGATTCTGCTATTTGTAAGCGACTTTGTTTACTTTTTTATATCATTTGCCAGAGCCAGAGATTACGTTATCTTCTGTGGAGTTTTGGCTTCGCTTGGATCAATGCATGGGGGTATGTTTGGCTTTTACTATCTTCGATGCTCTAAACATTTTTCAGCCTTGTTTTCCCCGCTTTTTTTATATTTTTCGTGTGCTTAAATTTTCTTAAACTTTTTTCATTCACCATCTTTGTGCTGCTGCTTGCAAACACCGTAAAATTATACTATTTTCTCTGTTGGTCTCTTTGTTCAAACCACTTTTCTCAAATCCCACTAATGATGGTTTATATTCTTTTTCAAATTAATGGGATTATGGAATTATTATTTGAGAGATCTTTGGGCTAATAAGTAGATTTATTGTTTTGTGTAGTTTTATGATAGTCGTATTAGCAATATTTGTATCTTAACATGTAGGTGTTGAGACGGAAGTGTCCTCTGAGCTACCGTTTTTCAGCAATAAGTTTTCAAGAGAACAGTAGTCATAATCTTCACCCTAACTGGCAATTAAGAGGACTAAAATGTCATTAAAATTTGTGACCGAAACAATAGCACCTTGAGGTACGCTTTTACTTCAAAATTAATTATTTTTAAGTGCCTATCGACTAACTCATTTTTTCTGTTATAATCTATGTAACTTTGATTAACTGTTGATTTGTGTTACTTTCCAATAAATCAACCTAGGCGGGGGTAAAACAAAGGTATTCAAATAGCGAAGCAGAAAATTTTGAGGGAAAATAGAATAGAAAAAGAACATTTTAATCATAAAGATAGATAAAAGAAATTGCTGCTGCGATATAATCTTTTGTTTCACCTAGTTGCCAACGATCCGTAGCGGGTGTCTTTTAACAGCCTTACGAGCTGTACGAGGAAGCCTACGCTTTCTCTTCAGACTCACACCAACCTTATGGCATGGTAACATTACTACATTTGAATATTTCGGAGACATAATCATGCTTAGATATATTTGGCTTTTCGTAATTTTTTCTGTCTTCTGCATAGCGAAATAGAGAATGAATTGCTGGTTATTATACTTACCTTTAAATACAAATTGTAGTGGACAGAGGTTATGTAGTTTGGTTAAATTATGGATCTCGTTGGTCACCAGCAGCTATTCAAGGTTAATGAAACCCTAAAATTGGATGCATTAATCAGCATACTGTATTATTTCTTTCTTAATTAGTAATTTAAGCACCGATACAGAGCATTCATGAAGCATTTGGGAGAGCGAGAATCAGTCTCAATTTTTTCACGTAGTAAACTGTGTGTCTGATGAAGTACATTACTTAGCATTATTAACATACACCAGGTTAATATTTTTATAAATAATGTTTGAATCGAAAATATTATTGTGGACTTCGAAGAAAAACATTTAGTTTCTGTTTGCAGCTAATGACATGCTTCTTTACTTTTCTATTGCGTTTTCGTCTAATTATTTTGAAAAAGCGATTTGAGTAAACCAGTAATATTGTTTTTATTAGCATCCTACTCCAGATAATCTAATTCTACACGGTAATACCCTTTCTTCCCTATAGTCTGGAATAGTTTTATCACATTCTCTTGAAGCATTTTGTCCCCTAATATGAGTAACATTCAATCAAGGTATTATCCCTCAAATTATTTTTCTTAGTTTATTTCATCTAGCTATCATAAACACCTTATTTTTTTATCAAACTATCACCTTATAGCACTGCTTACGCCGTATACTTGTTTATATAATCAATTATTTTGGAGTGAATCCCAGTAATAATTGTTGTCATTAACGTCCACACAAGACTTTCAATTGACTGAATAGTAATATTATCAGAAAATTGATAAGCGAAACTTTAACATTGTTGTTGCATAATTCTTCAACGTGTACATATTACGGTAGAATCTGAAGAATAAGTTATGGAAAAGAATATTCTCTGTTCACTTAAATGACTTTTGAATTGTAATAGGGATTTTTAATTTTCTAGAAATGTATATTCAGCGTTTTAATTCTGACTGAATAAAGAACTAGCATGTGTTTTAACTGGCGTTTTGCTTTTTATCGCTATTTATTTTATCAAAAGAATCATAAATTAGAAGGTTCTGCATTTTCCAGTTGATTGAAGAATGTTAACATATATATGTAGTATGTTCAGTTTGATAAATGTATAAATTACACGCTGAAGTTTATACTGTTTTGTTATATTTTTCACTGACTGTTTAATCGTCATCAGACTCTGTTTCATTATCTCTTCTCTAATTTCATTTTGTGGAAGGATTCTATCATCCCGAATTTTGCGTAGTTTATGAAATTTTTCTGAATGCTTTCATTGTCAATAAAATCGACCATATGGTCTGGTATTACCCTATGTAAAATGAGTTCATTATGCTCAATAAATATAGATATTGAATTCTGAGAAAATTATGTCGTTCATGTCGTTCTGTATTGTTTATTGGCCTGTAGAAGACTAACAGCATTAAGTAGCAGAATATCAGTAAAAATGGTCCTGTTTTATTTTGAATGGACTGGGTGAATTAAAACTGAAGATAATGGATATCATTTTCAAGCTCTTAATATTTTTCTTCACATCGGCATGGATACAAGTTTTAAACAATAGGCTATGGATATTCTTTATGATGCTATCAAAACTAGCAATCGAACCTAATACTCCGAAGTAAATAATTTTTTTTAACTATTTTTAATCATTTCAGTGGGGTTCATCAGATGTGATTAAAATTACTGCAGCTGAAAATTTGGTGAATCGTTATGTTACCGTTGGACTTTTACCTGTAACCAATTCAAATAACTTATATGATGAATTAACAGTCCCGATGTCAGTTGGCTGGGATAGAGCTTTACCATGTCAAATTATTGTTGAACCTCTGTTTCATCAACTTCACAGTATTTTACAATCTGTGACATTTACACCACCTGTCTATTCATTATTGTCTGGTATGTTATTATTTAGTCACAGTGCACTCGTCAACTTGAATTTATATGATGCTCTTAATTGTAACATTAATGATATTGAAATAATCTTGTTGATCGTTTCAGTGACACTGCTACGACGTGCGATACTCTGCCCAAGTTGTTGTACTGTAATTCCAATTAACTGTGATTAAGTAATCGAATGAATCGATGTACGAAAACAAAGAAAAATGCGCAGAGTAACTTGAATTGATCACAAACAATCATTACTACCTCTCCCAGTAACTTATGCTCTACTAAGATACAAAAGTATCATGATATAGTGCATGAAATGCGATCCAAGAAACTCGATTATCAAAATCACATCACTGTATATCCATTCATAAGGCCGAGAAATAATTCCTTTCGGCATCTGACATCTAGTTAAAACTGCCGATGTTCAAGTTGCCAATTAGGGTGAAGTAGGAAACAATGTCCTCAAATACTGGTTACCATTTTGTCACTTTTTTTTCGATTATCTCGATAATCAGGATTCACATCTGTTTGTTATCTTAGGCCTTGCTCGCCGAGTTATTTATGGTCCTCATCGATTACTGGTATTGAAATTAGCTTGTGATTTGGCAAAAACCTATCTGCTTAGAATGGAAAACGAAGCTCGAATTGTGTATGCTGACAACAAGCTGACGGATTCTAGTTCTGAAGAATGTCTTGACAGAGAATCTGCTAATTCCGAACCCGACGAATACTATAATGAACAAGAGAATCTTCGATTAGCTCAGATTGCCTTAAAAAAAGCTGAAACCAGTCATAAACAATTCGCAATAGAAGGTTTCCTTTATGAACATCATCTAGCTGATTGGAAAGCGATAAACAAAAATTTCAATAGGTAACCAATCTTCGTATTTTTAATATTTGTAGCATATGAAGTCGACCGTTTTGATGAATTTTATACATATAACCCTTCTTAGATTGATTAAGCAGCCATTCTTTCACATTATGAATAGACTGGTACTTTGCCACTGCTGTAGAAATATACAATGGAATCACCAAACACTATCTCTTTGTTTATATAAATCCTGATCAAGATTTGAACAAACTGTATTCATATCAAGATCATTTTCTTGATTTAACTGAATATGAATTTCTCTTATGGAGTGAAAACATTTCCATCCTATAGTATTCATCTGTAGCAAGTTGAACCGATACATTTCGATACAAGTTTCCAAGTTGTACTGTCCTCTGCTTAATCTCCTTGTCACATAATTTCACTGTAATGCCAATGATGAGATCGGGAAATGAAACTGTAGCTTTCCCATTATCTATTTTTTTAAATCTCATACTGTGTTTTTATTAGGCTGTCCAAATAAGAATGTACTGTTGTAGTTATGCCGCCGAACTCAAGTCAGTAGGTCACAGTTTTGAACACCGCTCCATCTATTAAGGTTTGAATGGATTGGTAGCATTATTAGCCTTCATACAATAAGTGTGATTCACTGCCTACTGCAGGGAATTACACGTGATTGCTGAGTGATGGCTTTTGCCATCCGAATTGTTAAATATTTATTTCTTCTTGACACTTGTAGTGTTTCACTCACGCACTCATCTTTACTTTTTATGAATATCAAACAGTCATCTGTTTATTTCATTTTTTACTTTTCAAATTGTCTGTGACAATCTTTTTTCCATTTCAGCCCTTTTGAATTAATATTAGCATTGTTATCAGCATCAACTACATTATCAGCAGTGACTGATGACTTGAAGTTAGAACTTCCTCTCTCGAATTTTTTCATCAAACAACGGGTTTCAAAAGTTATACCGTATATTGCTGAACTGGCTAATATAAATCTACCGGATGTAGCTAAACATATACTGGTCAGCAGGCTAAAGATTCCTTTCCACATATTTTCAAACCATCAGGATTCAAGTGAAAGTCCCACAACAAATCGTAGCTTCTCACTAGATATGACTTTTGAATCAAGTGAGTTATCTTCGAATGATATCACCTTCAATGCCACAATGTGCGAACCAAAATTTGGACATGCTGTCCTATCAGTTGATGATCAGAAGTTCGAGCAATCGGAACCTGAAGGAAAGGATTTCATGTTAGCCGAGCTTCTACTACAACAAGAGGAAATAAAACGCCAATTACTTCCTACTCTCGATTTCTTTGTCTTTATGGGCGCTTCTAACCAGTATATCTCTGCTAAATGGCGTGCAGTTCGATGCATTTTACGTTGTCAAAGAGGCACTAGTCTACGACCAAATTATCATTTAGCGAACTACGTTCTACCTTATTGCGTCTTTCAGTACTGGCCACTTGTCCGAATTCTACTTATCAGCAGTTTATATTTGATGCATTTCTTCATGTACATCAGTAGGTGGCGATACATTTAATTCACTTTGTTATTCACATCTTACAGATAGTATTAAACAACTCTTAATGACTTCAAACTCCTTAACTGCTATCCATTTTGCCTCTCATCTGATTCTTGATTACGAAATTTTATCGCCTCCTATCTTGACACAGCTGCTTGAATCTATTTACCGTTCCCCTGAGGTAGAAGCACTTGATTATGCTCTGCGTTTGCTCATTTTTGTACAATCCTCTACGAATTTTGATCAAAGTATGAAATGGTTTTTCTTGAATCCTATCAAGGAAGACTCTATTCTTTATAATCTTTTATCTTCACTTATTCAGCGACTGTTTTTGATGATAGTGCCTACTAAGAAACCTGATTCCAAGAGAGTGCATAACCTTAATAAATTACTCTATTTCATGATATCTTCGCCATTTTCAGATACAGAGATTGAAACTATTTTCGTTCAGTTTCGTAAATCTCTAAGTCTAGTGTTTTCACAGCAGTCTATCCGAGTGAGTGATTCACTTCAAAAAATGCCGAGTATCTTTGCTGTATATCTACATCTACTTGCATCCAGTTTTTCAACTAAACGGCTACAAATATACCTCAATGCATGGTACAATTCAGTAAGTTTTCTTATTATTATACTATATTTTATTGATATGCAGTCACACATAACTTAACCTGATCACTCGTTGACTGGCTCATTAATTTGTTAACCAGGTGTAGGCGACTACAACCAAATATACTAACAGGAACAATACAGGATCTGGTGATAATGCGAAGCTATCACTGATTGATATACAATTTTCAACCAGTGGGTTATAGGTTGGAACTCCACTTCACATGTAGAACCCAAAACAGTTATTTAGTTTCACTAGTTGTCACATAATAGATGAACGAATGTAGTATTAAACCTAAATGTCACTTTCACGTAGTATTATTGCATGATGGCACGAATCGCCACACTAGCACATTGAGGTGGAAATCTGCGCTTTGAAAATTAAAAAAGTAAAAATAATTACATCATAAGAAAACATGGCGAAAACGGAAGATAATGAGGACCAAGACATGATATTACAACTTAAGCGATAATGAGACATAAACGCATCTCAGTCACTGCTATCGGTGCCGTGCCATATCATTTAAAGTCACTAGCTGTCGATTTTTCGTCTCGTAGATGTCTAAACAAGAAGTCTATATTTCTGTGTATGACCTAAAGGCTTTATAGGATATTGCTGCACAATTGCCTTTTTCGGAACTGATTCGTATCCCACCAAAATAGCACGATGAGACAAACGGTAAGTATTTGTTACACATGACTCAATAAGAGTGTACAACTTTTTACCGAAAGTCTTATGCGAACTAACGTTATTGTCGTGTTTGAATTTACACGATTATATTCACGCATTTAAACCGTGAAGGTACATTTAGTCTTTTGTATAAGCTATTATAAGAACAAATGATCTTCATATGAATTCATTAAAATGGCAGTATACACTAAATCTCAACAATTGTCATACTTTACTTTTAGGCAATTGAACAGGATAACGAACATAGCATTAAGAATGTAATGCGGGATGCTATACAGAATAGTGAACTTTGTCTAACTGCTAAATTCCTCGGCTTATCATAGTTGTTAATTTTCAATACAATTTACAAAGTTCTGTGTACTATTCCTAAGATTTCTTATTATAATACAGATGGCTGTAATCACTTGCCCTCAAATTTGTGTTTTCGATGAGTTTGTATGGGGAGAGTATTTGAATATTTTGTTTTTAGTGTAAATGGTAGTGTACATTCTTTCATTGTTTCATATGTTGAGAAATCCGAGATAGCTTAAAGACTTGGAAAAAGACTTGACACAAAGTAGAACTGTTTGTTCTGGTCATACAAACTTATTCCATCGATTTCGTTTAAGTTGTAATGCCTAAAATCTTCATTATTCAACTGAACAAAAATCCTCTGCCCATCATTGGGATAATAACGTACTGTATTTAGATAAGCCAAGACTAAATCACATTTCCTCGCAGAAAATGCTGATTTTTCAGATGCACAAGTGTTACGTCAATGAATCCATTTCTCCCGCTTTTAGCATAAACCAATCTGAATGCTTACTAATTGACTCTTTATTAACGACTGTAGCTAATGGTGTTTTATCCGACTTTGTGGCGCGTTACTGAAAGGAAAAGATATGGTTACTCTTCCACAGATCTCGGATTTCCCCGTACCACTTCGTTATTATGCATATAGGCACTTTGATAACTGCTTTCCTAATCTACAATCTGTAAAAGGTACCCGAGGGGGCTAGTGTAGCTATATTTAATCTTCCCAATGCTATTAAGACTGGTTATATGCACTTCATAAATCGATCTTCACAGGACATACATTTTACAACACTGCATTGTTCGGGTAATAAGTAAAGGAAAGCCAGAGCTTAGTGGTTGGTTCAAACGGTTCGCTTCCCACCTACTGTTTCAGTTGTCAGCATTCCCTTAGGAACGACACATTAGGAGTGGCTTCTAGTATAGTAAAGAAGCGTATTTAGTTCCATTAGTCACTGATCTCATCATTCGACGTGCAGTTTTTAGTTTCATAATTTTGAAACTGCAAATAGTAGCTTAAGTTGAAATAAGTGGTCGCCAATTGTTAAAGAAGTCAGAAATATCACATGAAAGCATTGGGGATGGGAATGAGTTCAGACCAAAGTGTGGTTGTACTTAGCTTTCGCCTCAAAAATAAATCGGCAATGCAGGAAGATAACTTCAGAAAGTGACAACAGATAACTTTTGTGAATTCGTATGTGGTGAGTGCTACTTATAAAAATGTATTTTACTAATATGAAGCAAAACAATGGGAAACAGGTGATAGTGGTCGGCTTGTAAAGGTTCTTTAAGGAATAAGACAAAATATCAATTAGAAATAAAGAGGGCAAGAACATTTGGATTCTGAGCAAAGATGTGATTTTATTGCGAGGCGTAGTTCTTATACTAATACGCATTACAAATCTTTACAATAAACAAACTACTACCCCGCTGAACTCGTCAAATGTATTAGTGACTTTATGAACAACCTTCCCTTGAGAATCAGGAGTGTCATAGCTTTGAAAATAAAAAAACCAAGTAGAAGACACCTGAGTAGGAAAGCTGAGGCAATCAGAAAGGCATCTTGGCGGGATTTATAGGATCCCATGCCGGTGAACCGACATTGATGATCGTCAGTTGGAATTTCGCTCAGACAACCACTCGTTTCTGACCAGCATTAACGTTCAGTATAAGGAGAGGCAATGTCTCATTTAGCGTACGCCGACTTCAAACCAACGATGGACACAGGTAGATAGTATAGCTACCAGCCATCGTTGGAGGATTGTCGTCCTTTATGGAGTACCAGTTTGGACTCCAATCAGGTGCTAGGACGAGCTCGCGTGTGTGCATCTTACTGGTCGCAATAAATAAGCATCACGAAAGCCTGTATATGCTCGACTGGGAGGAGCAAATTTCATTAGGGAGGAGGAGGTCAGGAGTCTATCTGAATGTGGTAGCAATGCAAATACCGGTGAAACCTGGCGTGATATTAGGTCTGAGCTAGAAACAATGGTAAGAAACAGTTAGTAACCCACACATGATGATGATGATGACATGACGGTTAGCAAAAGTCATTTGATTTCAGTAACGCAATCCAAGCTGATTAATGCGTGAAGATTCTTTCTGTCTGTCTATGACCAGGAAGGAGATTGAAAGCAACCTAAATATAAATTGACCAAGTGTCTTTGCAGCGATCACGAGCGGTTGTGGGTGGTGAGACCGAGTGTTAGAGTAGGCATCAGCGTTGGGTAGTACCCGCCAACTATTTAGGCTTATTAGAGAGACCAGGAGAAGAGACGACGGTTAGTAAGACCAGCACCAAAAGGTTTGGGTTGCTAATAACCTCCCAGGACAGGTGGCTAGGACGTCGGGCAGAACACTTGGAAGCACAGTCCAACTGGCCCAACGTCCAATAAGCCTGAACAGGATGCAGGTCCTGGTCCCCCAAAATCCCCTGAAGTTGAGAAGGCTGCACGGGAACAGAAATCATAGTTTGCCACTAGGAAATTTTAAGGATAGGCGTTTGAAATTGTTGCTTAAAGTGATGGGGGTACTAGGTGTCTTATAAGAAACAGAGATGGTTTGATTCACTGACCACCCCAGTGTACAATAAATCTTGCGTAAACAATCTGGAAATTTTCTTCGAATAATGTAACGTCCAAGATCCTAGGGTTAAGAGTAGTCCGACGCCTAATTGGGGCTCGAGAAGTGCAAGTTAAAAAAAAAACGTACACCGCTCAACAGACACAAACACCGACGAGATTTTAAGTGCAGAGCCTTTGACACAGTGATGTAATTACTAGGCGTTCTTCAGCGACAGATGACACCATAAGACCGCTCAGTCAATGGAGTCGATAATTGTTATTATCAACATAGGACCAGGACCAGTCGATAATTGTAGCCAAATAAATATTTTGTTCTCAGGTTACGAAGTTAACATGCCGCCGGTAAGTAAACATGTGTTTCACAATCTAGCGGAGGGTTAGCATCTGGTTGCTACATCGGAGACGAGGATTGAAACCTCAGTTGTTTCAATGCGCCAACTGTCTGGAAATTATTTCGACTGATATAGCGCCCAGAAGCCTAGGGCAGGTTCCAGACCTGGACGGCGTATCCACCATAATCTAACCCACGACAGATTCTGGAACATGCAGCTGACAACTGGAAGCGATATCCGACAGCGGTGTTGTGGCAGCGCCTAACTGTGAAGGGAGCACATAACGTTAGTAAGGTGATAGAATCTGTCAGTCACACCACTTACTTGGACAACTGCATCAGCTCGAACGAGCTGTTTGTTGACGAAATCTCAGCGCAGATACAGAAGGCCTGATAGTTATTTGCCAACTTGCTTCATCTGTGGCACCAACCGGTCAGATATCCAGAAGTCCACCAAGGAACGAGTATACAGTGCTACAGCCCGTTCTGTCAAGTTATACGGGTTTAGATGTTGGGCGATCACAGGCTTTTGATCATACGCCGACTCTTAGCATACCACGCGCCCGGATGGACCACCGTGCGAGCAACGTTGGGACATGGCGAAAGGTGCTAAGCAAGACATACCAGTCAACCAATGAGCTGCTCAATAGTCCTCTGGGTACTGCGAAGTGGTCATTCGAAACGACGTCCTAATGTGCGATGTTGTCACTGAGTCCCGCCCACTAAATATGGTAGCTTTCCTGTACAGCACTTAATGATTGTCAGAGACCACTGGCCAGACCCTAAACAACCGCGTTTATGACGGGCATCACGCCCCACAACGCTAATAGTCGTTAGCGCACTTACCGCCGACTAGACCTGGCTTGTTTAACCCGCTGAGAAGTAACAGGAACCCAAGTCAATTTGATCGTCCTGAAAAGCAGGTCAAACAGCCTTCAAGCAGCAACATAAAGTTCATACTTTGGCCGACTAATTTCCAATTCGTTCCCTATAGATAATCATTCACAATCCACGCGTTCACCACATACTCATGCAGTGTGGTACCGACTTCATGGCCTGACGAAATAACGGCTACGTCCACATTACGTCGCCGAATGAGCCATTCAGCGGGAGAACAGCAAAAATCAGTCACAGCTAACTCCCGCAGCAGGGAAGACTTCCTGCTATACAAGAGGGGGACGTATTTTGGAGCATGATAACGAAAAAAACACGCTTTCGTGGTTAGTCCCGACCGGCTGAGAGTATGCCATCCCAACAGCTAATATATGACCACAGAACCTAATGCAAGCACAAGGATGAAACGAGTGGTGTTGCTGAACGTACAACGAAAAATTACAGGCGCTAAAGAAAAGATAGGAACACAGAAACCTTCCAGAGATTGACACAAACGCACGCTTACCAGTATGTTCGGATAACAGTCACCACAAACTACTGCGATAAACACAGACAGAACTTCAGTTCGTTAGAAGTCAACAATCGAAACTAAAACATGCTACCGCGAATATCGACTGGCCAGACTCAAATATTAAAACCTCCCTCACCACTTAGCATGGCTAATTGCTTACTATGCGGGCGTCCACGTGTTGATAGGAGCATCTAAACCTTGTACCTTAACAACCTTCCAGAGTTTGACCCCAAACGTAGCACTGATAACTGCGAGAAAGCCGTTTTATGCAGAAAGATTAGTATGCATGTAAAATAACATCGACTCGAACAGTCTACATTAAATGCGTTTAATCATCAGAATCCCGGTCTCGAGCACCGTGGTCACCATTACTTCTACCATCCATTTCTTCATCCGAACGCCTTGGTGTACCAGACTCACTGCGACGCGACATTGAGCGTGATCGAGACGCGGAACGTGAGCGTGTGTGCGAACGACCAGGAGACCTTGAATCTGCTGTCCGTGACCTGCTTCTGGAGTGTGAACGTGTGACAGAGCGTGACCTGGAACGCCGATCCAAATCGTTCTTCATGCTGCCCTCTCGACCATTACAGCTCGGGGAACGGGAGCCAGCATCCTTGATGACACTCAGTATTAGGAAGTAATTGGACTTACCAGTGAGCGTTTGTTACTGTGGTGGGAAACAGATCTTGCATGAGAATGGTTGGATCCTGAGCGGTGTGAAGGGCTCCTAGACCCCTCATCAATGGAGCGCTCGCGGGAGCGTCTGTGGGAATCCTGGCGGGATTCTGACCGGTGTCCATCGCTTGAGAGTGACCTGTCACGCCGGTGTCTTGGGCTTCGGGATTTCTGCCTGCGATGCGAATCTCGACTCCGTGATCGGTGAGAATGCCGACGACTGTCAGACCGTGACCTGTAGGAGCCTGATCGAGATCTCTGACCTGGACGATCCTCGTACACACGAAGCCTGCGTCCATACAGTTCGTAGCCGTCAAACTTCTCGATTGCCTCCTTCATGTCTGCATATGCCGCAAACTCGACAATTCTAAGAAAATGGATCAGGAAAGCCACTCAACTTACCCATCATTTTTAGCTGATTTGTGAGCATCCGCGTAGGTGACTTCACCAGCCTTACGCATCAAGTCTTTTAGGTCCTGAACAAAAGAACAAACAACTCAGAATCTCGTCAGTGAATGGAATAATAAACTAAATCATACTACTAATTTGGGTTAAGCTAGCCTAGTACTTAAAAACGCGCGAGTAATTTACCTCGCGTTTTGTTCTGACCACAGTACGAAACCACGTTACCACATGCTCGGCCGGACGACCGTTGGACGGCGCGACCAGAAACAACCCTGGGCGACTGACCATGACATGGAAAACGACCAATCCTACGCGTCCTACGCCACCCGAAACGACCGAACGTCAACGAGCGGTAACTGAATTCGAGATAACAGGCAATTAGTTACTTCTTTCGTTTCTTACAAACAGTCAAATGACAAATCCTTACCTGCCAGCTTACACGCGACGATAGGTTCTCAACAATGACGCGGTACTCCGTGCGAGTCGGTGGACCGTACCTACTGTAACAGATGAGGAAGGACTGGCAAAGTGACTTACCGATCGCGACCACTACCACCACCACCACCTCCTCCTCCGCCCCCGCCACCTCCACCTGCTCTTCTGCTTCCACCTCTGGTCCCCGGTGGAAGCCGAGCATGTTCGACAATCAGACGTTCACCTCTCAGATCTCTGCCATGGAGGTCGTAAACAGCGTCATCCGCGTCTTTCTCGTTGTCAAACTCAACAAAACCGTACCCATTCTTCAAAACGATATCTCTCAGTCGACCATAGCCTTTGAAAAATCGTTCAATATCCCTTTCGGTGCACCGTGGAGGAATCCGACCAACATACACTCTAGACATCTTGAAACTGACGATCAGAAGCGACCATAATACACCGATTCAAACAAATGAGAGGTGTCCAATGCCAAACAGATGTTACAGTAAACATCAACTCGACTGTAATTTGGATAACTTTAGACAAATTCAATTATTATCGGACGGAAATTCTTGAAGGTCTCGCTGAAAACCACTGTATTCTTTCGTCAAGTATTTGCAGACATTTGAAAGGTTGAATTTTTATTCTTACTGTTCCCGTTTGAATGTGCTTACCTGATCATTTCGGTAGACTCGACTTTTGTTTTTTCCATCTGCGTCATTTTCCCTTGTAGTTTTTTTCAATTTCCTGTTTGTGTAGGAATGCATCTTCATGTGTCCAGGTGAAGGTTGTTTTTCCTTTTTTAGTTTTACGTAGTTTTGTGCTTCATCTTGGCACGCGTTGTGTTGTTTGAGTTTTCCTCTCTTTTGCTTGGCATTTCCGTGGTCTATTGTCTGATTTTATTGAAGTTTATTGGAGTAGTTCACAAGAGGTCCCACTATCCTGATTGCTGCTTTCCATCTAGACGCTAACTATTGCAGGTACCTGCGGAGCTGGACCTCAGATCGCTCTCAGTGTTCTCGCTGAAACCCGTTAGGGTCTATGAAGCGTTTGTTAATTTGATGGTATATGAAAACCCTCTTGCTTATTTCCTCTAGTATGTGCAGTGGCCGGAACGATGCCGCTGTTTCTCCAGTAGGCTCATCATTTGTGTACATAATGGTGTAACTTGCCCTCTGCCTCACCCTAGATAGATTAAACTAACTGATGCACTATAGCTGTTACAGAATGCACGCATTTTACCACCTCCATTGGTCCAGTAGTGTTCGCGATTCCGTTTTATTGCCAAAGAGAATATAAGGTACCTCTGCGCCATGCATTTTCATTTTTACCCCTTTTTCCGATGTAAATGTGGATAATGAGAGAAATCTCGAAATATAAGCCTATTGATTTCCAAGTAAAAGGCTTGTCTATTGATTTCCATGTGATTAAGTGTACGACTTGTCGGTGGGGCTTTCATTTACTTTTTAGTGTTCACCTAATCTTACATAAGTTTGCATCAAAAATTGACAAAACTGCAGCATTCCATAAAAGCATGCAGAAAACCCGCATTTTTCAGTACAAGCATCAAAATGTTGCAGGTTTTTCTGAAGGCACCAAATCAACCTTCAGCTTGTATTGTGCCTAGGTTATGCCTTTTATGACAACCACGTGTTCAGTAAGTCTGACGGTTTTATAATAATGATAAAAATAAATTATTCCCGAATTTACAGGGACATACCATTTCTAAAGATAAGGTTATGGCATTTGGTGGTGAAAAATCTTTGGTCATTTTTCCCCGTCTCTGTTTCATCCTTGCGTAATGTATTCTGAGCTTCAGTTGTTATTCAGGTTGTCTTTCAGACAACTATCGCTTCTCGGTCATGTCATTCCATTCACAGCTTGTTTGACTACCAGGGAGCTGACTAGCGTGGGGTGTATATTTTTAGAATTCTACGGCGATGAAGAAGCGCCCATGGTAAACGGTTGGTTTGTAAGTCATTTAGACTTTTTAACTTGTATGTGTGCACGCATTGTATCTGTGATAAAAAGAATTCTGTTCCAACATGTAATCCCTTCTCAAGCACAGTCCCAAGGGTTCACAGTACTTTATTGAGCTTAATATAGTTGCATGAGTTTTGGCCGACATAACGATGAACGTCCAGGTTCTTTTGAGATATAATACACATACAGGAAGAGTACCACATGAGCTATGCCAAGACAATGTCAGTAAATAACTCTGAATCGCTGACAGATTAAAACGGAGACACGTGGACTTAGAAAGGAATTCATTGACTTTGGAACGACAATCACAATGAGGATTATGTTGCTTTTTTGGGAAACCCACAAACTTCTTGATCGTATGTTCTTCGTAATATGCAAATATACATGGGCTTCCATTCGATGCTGTTTTCTTTTTTGGAGTCGGTTGCTGTTGACTGCGCAGTAACCAAAGCGATAAAATTTCTGCCTGAGGAAGACCAAAGTAAATAGCACGCAGCATTGGAAATAAAAGGAAGCCCTTCTCTACTTCGCTGAGACAACTTCAAACACACAAACTGTTTGCCTGGTCCAGTATATGTGCACCTAAGTATCGTCGACCGCCCCAGGATATGTTGACTGGATGGGAATAAGCTTGGAAAGTGTTCCAGATTCTTGCGATAATACATGACAGTAACACAGACAGCTGCTAATATATGACTTAGGGAACGCTTTTACGGCGAATAGGAAGTTATGAACTGTTGCCAGAAGTTGTACGAACCGCAATTCGCAATGTTGCGAAATAAATCAAGATGTCTTTTTGGGTGGACGATATGTTATGAACTCTTGAATGTATTTATGAAAACGTGCCGCCAGACGGTAAAGCGCGTACAGGAACAACTGATGGAATTCTAATGATTCGTTGAAATTTGACGATTTGAAGTTGACGCATACATTCTTCTCTAGCTAAAATTTGGGCAGGCCAGGCAACAAAAATAAGTTCATCTACCGAACAGGTAATCATCGTTGAGAACACAGGTGGCAACTTGGTTAAGAATTTGCCGTGCGTAAAAATGATGCTTTTTCATTGAAATCAGAACATTGTTTCACAGGTTTCCACTGACTCCGCGTAGCCGCAGATTTGAGCATTCAAAATAAGTGTACATTTGGCAGAAATCCGGTCACTGCTAAGCCAGTGTGTCAGTTTCGTTGCCGATTTGCGACTAAGATCAAAAGGTGCGGACTTCCTTAAACACAAAGGTTAGGTCTTTGCGAAGACATGCGCGGCAGCCACTGCGTCACTCTTCGGACATGTGGTATTGCGCGTTCAGGCAATACCATACACTTCGGTCTTCTTCTGACTTACTTTCACGTGTATCCATCCCTGGGGGGGGGGTTGAAAATAATAGGCAGTGTTTTCTATCTCCGCTTACCCCCTGCTTTATTCAGTACCACTGCCTTTTCTTAGCCCACTTCTCATCTTCAATCAAACCCAAACGCCAACGATAATCAGCTTAGCCATGATACTCACTTGGCCATGTCGCACAGCACCGGTACGTTTGCGTCCTCTTCCAACGTTTTCTTCGAATATATTTATTTATCTCCATCTTTCCCGACCAGCACCTTCCTGATCTGCACTTATCCATTTTACTCCATGCAATGCTTTAGGTGCATCTACCGAAAATACGAGGTTTCTCATTCACAAGCTCTCAAACTGTTCCTCAACTGATGACACCCCTTTTAATCTTACCCTATCCAATACTCACTCGACTAAAAGTGAGTTGAATCGCCTTCGAACACTCCTTCTTATGCCGGCTGTTTTCGCTATCAGAGAAGCCCAGTGCTTGCCAAGTAACTGGGACTTTCACTTCGGGGTAAATGACTATCTCCTACCTTGTTATGGTCGAGAAGGTACACTTGGTGGCGGTTGTGTCATCTATGTTGAATCCCACACCGGACCCTTCGTAACTGACTCACCTCATGTCAAGGCTGCCAAAGGCGATCCTGGTTCAACTGTCCCTACAAAAACAAATCCGCCTTCTCGAGGTGTATATGTCGCGCACTCCAAAGTACCAAAGGTTTGGTCAGGAAATATGTTAGGCACTTGCGACCACCTCCAACTTTTCACAGGACCTAAAATAAGTCTCTGTAGTTCTAATTAATCACACGTTCAGCGAGGTTCCTCTTCTGCCCATAAATGCTGTGACGATATCGGAGCGTCTGACTTTTACGCCGGCCACAGGTTCGACAAGGATGGTCGCAGTCTTGCATTTCGTGGATTCATACGGCCTTGCAGCGGGATGCATTTAACCAAGTCTGTAACATGTAGGGTCCATGAAGATACTTGCTGGGGACACTTTCGTATTCTCCTGCACTGTGCAGAATAGGATGGCTTTCTTTTTGCGATGACTGCCGACGAATAACAAGCAAATTTCGGAGAAACGTTAACACCTGCCTTAATGCAAGTGTCTCCCTAAAAGAAGCTGGACATATCGTAGACTATTCCTCGTGAGTAATCTGGAAAACGAGGAATGACTGCAGAATATCAAAGGAGGTTTGTAATTCATCATGACTTCTCTTAAACTTTCTAAATCGTTGCAACAGCACCAGTCAGAGGAGATCCGTCCAGCACACCTTTGCTACTGAAGAAAGTACGCTTTCAGCTTCTTCAGTACTGTTCAGGGACTCCTGCGATTGGTCAGGACGCTATCCAGTCCTCAAGTTACCCCAAAACCTCTCATATTATACTTGATGAACTTCCGTAGCCCATATTCTAAAAACTTATAACCTATTCAACAAACACCTTTCTCCCATTCATATAATCTTTACAGTAACCTTGTCCAGTATACATCTCGTCACTTCTTGATGTTTATGCTCCGTAAATTTCACCGTCCTCTAGTTTGTAAGGCGATGAATAACTAAAAACTGTCACACGGTTCTGATAACGATGGCAATCCTCTCGTCTTACCCAAACTTAACGGGCCTGATATCCACCTGCTGCTCCTCAAACTATCCGCCTCATCGTTTCTTACCCACCGCTGCCCCGAAACCCTGGGAACGCATGTATACTTGTAGACGTTTTTGGCGCTCTCCAGGTTATTGACCATTTATAACTGTTTGATTTCCCTCATTACTCGCAGTCGTTACTCCCCTCTACTACAGCTACAGACGTCACTTTGGGCCCCAAGTACAATAAATCTCTTCATCATGCACGGCGCTTAGTTTATTATATGTTGCGGCACTGGGATTTGCCTAGGATTCGGGTATTTCCCACGACATTTTTGCGATGTGTGTACTAGTACCTGCGGAGCACTGTTGTCCACGATTTTAAGCCATTCTTCATCTCGCGATTAGTGGAGGCACTGCATTCAGGGGTGGAGAGCTTCAGCAAGTCAGCCATGAGACATATTTGTGCCTTAAGACATTAACCATTGACCGTGCTCATGATATTGATGCACTTGTTGGTTCTCTCTTTTACTTCGCTAACTTTCAAACCGCTGCGTACTGCGACTTTT